TCGACTAACTAGGTTTATAACTCTTCCTTTGCATTTCGACAGGTTGAAATGACGCTACAACGCGCTGCTGAAAGTGTTGCTAAGTGCATCTTATCGGTAACAGAATTCGGCTCACCATCAGATTGACGAAATGAATATTCTGTGAGAAGAAGGTTTTATGAGCACTTGGAATTCGACTGACCCGTAGAAAACTGAGTTTTGCTTGGTGTCCATTAAGCCGCCGAAGAAGATACTTTATGGATCATGCTTCAGTGACGTCACCTCTCTCGACTACTGATGACACTGATGATCAGCCGGAGTAGGTTCTCGTCAAACCAGCGGTAGATCTCATCGCGAAGAACACAACAAATATCTATCATACTGAATGATGCAGATTCATGATTCACTTTTTAAATTTTGTTGGCGTTTGTGGAAACAAGGAATGCAAAGGATTCAGTAGATCGAGCTTCCTTGTAGTGTAGAGTCGTTTTATCTTTTGAGCTTTTCTAGTCAGGATGAAACAACATTAATTGCAGCGGAAGGGGCTCTCGATGGAGAGCTATGAGAGACAGCGACGTACTGCGTTTTTAAACGATCTGAGTCGTTGTCACTTTGAGGTGGTGACCGCTTATAAAAGTACTCTCAAATGAATGTATGAATGAATGAATACAACATTACATGGTTTTTTTTGTGACTTGCATGAGAAAGACGCAAGGTGCAAAATAAGCCGTTTTGAATACGGTTTCAACATGTTTACGACTGGCTTCTCGTGTCGCTCATCCACCTATAGTGCTTTGTTTGCGTTTTTCTAACGCCGTTTTATAGCAACCGATTCAACACGTAAGAAACTAAAAATGTTTCAACTAGTCATACTCATTCTTTCTCTTGCATCGGCCGGCATTGCCTGGCCTATTGAAAACGATGGAGGCGGGCTCTTTGCAGTGCATCCACATTCTCAATTCATCGTGAAGGATGATTACGGACATCGACAGGCCTCAAAATTCGAAAAGAGATCCATAGAGGAATCAGATACTAATGAGAATGATATTCTGTCCACTGCAAGGTCGCAAGAATATGATGGATGTAGCCTTATTGGTAAGTTAACTGTCATCAACTACTGTCAACTGTCAAACACGTCTTTTCAATTTTGGAGTGTATTAAAGAATGAAAGGCAAAGCATCCAGCTCGCACAACATTTTTATCTTATACTCTCACCAGGAAATGGGCTTTTATGTACTCTTCGACAATTTCGAACGGAGTTATACACCAAGAGTACTGAGGCGCTACAACGTGTTGTCGAAAGTTTTGCTAAATGCATCTTGTCCGTGGCGCAATTCTGCTCTCCATCAGACCGACGAGATGAATTTACTGTGAGTCGAGAGTGTTGCAATCGACTTTGAATCGACGGACGTAGAAAACTGAGTTTTGCTTTTTCTCCCAGGTCGCTGGAGAAGATACTTTATGGACTTATGCTTCTGTGTCTGCACCTCTTTTGAATGCTGATGACACGGCTCAGAGAACAAAAGAAAATAAATTTCACATCGAAGGCAAGTTCCATCTATATCTCGTTTTTAAAACTTGTCAACTCATTTGAATCTTTGAATAGTATTGAAAGAAGCTGAACCTTCCATCGAACATTTGGATTTGATCTCGATTCCGCTTCTACTGACGGTGGCGTATTGCTAGTTTATTTGGTTACGTTCTGAGAACACCTTGTAATTCCTTCAATGATAGAAGAGCCGGTATTGGTTAACACAGAAACCTCTCAGACCGAAGATGTGACTTTACCTGGTCTTATCGATGCTGAAGGCACTCGTCAATATGAACGTCACAATGAAAACACTCATCCACATGACGGTACCACGTCTGACACCTCACACGGACCTACTGCTATTCTCCACGACGACATCGAAGTACCGTCATCGAATGGCGATGATGATGCTAATCAGTCTCCAGATTTGACTTCACCTGCATTGCTAGATAATAAAAATACTCCTCCAATTGATGATGTCGAGCTTCATAGCCTTGATGAATCTGCTGTCTCTTATGAAGACAAGGAAATTGTTGGAGATGTGCAACTGGTGGAAGGTCACGTCGGCCTTCAAAGTCACCGTTCTCAAGATTCTCTTGATGAACTTGATCGAATCTCAACAGTATTGGAAGACTTTGGAATAGGTAAACAAAGGTTGCCGATTACATCATGCGTTGGGCAGTGGCAGACTAGTCATATTTCTTAATTAGGTGACCTATCATCATCACAAGTTGTAATGGATGCAGAGAATAGCGCTTCAGGACACAACGATCAAGATGTTCTTACTGAGCTCGGTCGCGTCTCAGAAGGATTGAAGAGATTTAAATTTGGTAACATCGCTGTCACGTCCATGTGTCTCTATTGATGGCAAACCGAGTAATTCTCTCTTTGGAATACCACTAGTCGAACCATCGCCACACGAAGCCGTACGAGAGGCAGAGATTACCACCATTGCGCAATCTATTGCTGAATCGATCTTGGAAGACGAGATTTTGAAGGCCTTATTCCCTAATAAAGGTATCGTAAGATGTAGTCGTCTTGAAGCTCGCTGAAGTAGTGCTGAGGCTTATTCGAAAAATTATATGTAGATATCGAACAAATTGCTTTTCAGAATGGTGTTTACTCTACTAATGATCGGAGCCTTGATGAACCTACCGCCAGTGATAGTCGTCGTGGACATGCCCTCTCAAGTATTGAAGAAGGTTGGGTCTGGCGTGCGAAAGGTTAGATACTAAGTGCTAAGTCTCACTTGGAAAATCTAGATATTGAACACAGTACTTCTCCAAACTATGGTTTGTCAGCTGGTGTTCGTAGCTACGCTGAATCTTTCCACGATGATGGACTTGATATCTCACGCAATGAAGCAGCTTCACAGACACGCACTCCGCAGCCTTCTGTTATTGATATTTCAAGTCAGTTTCACATCGTGCCATCTCTTAGAATGGAAACCACAGCAAGCCCAACAAATTTCTTTTCCGAAATTAGAACCACCCAATGTACGAGAGCTAATTGTACATTATGACGACTGGATACTCAGCTCGTCGAAATGTATGTACAAACAGTCGACGAGAAATGATTGAAACCCCCTAAATCTTCTCATTTTAGCGGATTCAGCTCTTGGCCAAGCTCAATCTTCTCATCTCGAAGGGCCCAAATTTCTTACCTCATGATGCGCACATTACATTTGCACCAATAGCAAATGTAAATAAAGCAAAAATTACTCCTCGTTGTTGTTTCTTGTCAAGCTTTGTTTTGAGCGACTTTCGTAAAACTGTTGTTTGACAGGAAAGTACTTTGATTGCAGCTGGGGCTCTAGACAAGGCGGTATGAGAGCTAAATAGAACACCGCCTTGCTTGAATTCTCAGCAAGATGTGTTGCACGCTCGTTTGGCAGGTGATCGCATATAAAATTACAATCGATCAAGTTTTTCCGAAAACCTATCAAAAATGTTATTTGGTGTTTGGTGACGCGGACCGAAGGTGGAGAAGATTCAACTTAAAATCACTCTTATAAAGACGTGACTTCATTGTTTTTAATCCCCTTGTCACGTCGCTTTTTCAGCCTGAAATCATTGTTTGCGTTTTCGTAGCATCATTCACGTCAAAATCTTCGACACTTACAGACAACATCAATCAAACATGTTGAAACTACCTCTGATAATCCTATCTCTTGCATTCATCGGCATCGCTGGGTCGATCGATACGGATGGAGTCGGGCGCAGTTCTATCCATCGTTCTCAAACCATCATGAAGAATGACGCTGGTCATCATCATGTCTCAAAGTTCGTGAAAAGAGCTGACGAAAAAGTGGATAATGAAGAGATTACGACTGTATCTACTGCAGACGGAAATGAGCAAACTGGATTCCGACTTCGTAAGCTGTCAAAAACACATCTGTATTTATTTTGACATATGGGCAAAATGACTGAAAGATCTCGTACCAACACCTCCATACTGATTTCATAGAACCCATCCATAAAGTTCTCTTTACTGGAGCTCTACTTACTTGTACTTTGTTGCAATTCTTCAGATCTCATGTTTCAAATTTTGACATATCTTATCATAGTGCTGTTTGGACTTGGTCTTACTATCGTATTCGCAGCTGGAATAGTCTCTCTTGGTCTTTCAATCATTGGTGGTACCTTCATCCTTACTCTCTTTGCCATCTGGAATGGGGTTAAACTCTACAAGCCTGAAACATATGAAAAGGCATCCGACAGTTTGCACCAAACAATCTCGAAAGCTTCGTCTCATGTCAAAGAACGTCTTTCACAAGGAAAGGAATTCGTAGAGAAAGCATATACTGGTGCCAAGGATGCAACCGTATCTAGGTTTGCTCAGTTGAAGGATCGATTCCGTGGTGACCGAAATGATGATACTTCTTCTGAAGGCAAAGAAATCGAAGAAGAGCCCGTCGTTGTTGAGGTTTAGTTAAAAGCATCACAAAAGAAATCGTCGTGGAATTGACGTTTTTACGCGTGGCATATGTTTGACATTTTGTATCAAAAACTCTCATAGGACGTGAAACGACATTCTTTGACTCAGACTGAATCAGTCTTAAAAGTCTTCAAAGATGGCGAGACAATCGTCATGGCTGAAAGTGGGTTCTCGATTGGAATAGAATCCAAAAAGGAATCTTCTCAAGTCGTTGACGAAGATGAAAAATATGTGTCACTCCTTGAAGTTGCTGAACCTGGTACCTTGACTCGAGATGAATCACAAAAGGAATCTCCTAAAGGTAAGACATCTTCTCTATTCACACTTGTATGTGAAACTTTTAGACTTACTCTCGTTTGCTAAAAGTTGTTGACGGTGAAAAAGACCTTCGACGACTAGATTCGCAGAAGGGATCTTCAAAGAATCTCGAAGTTGATCACCCTCTTTGTAAGCGTTGTAATATCAACTCGTTCAAGGTTTGAAAACTCATCCAACATCAACACGCTTTTAGCCGCCACTTTTGCATCTAAAGATACTCTTCACGAAGAATTGTCTTCTGGTGATGCATCTTCCTTTGTAAAAGATACAACTGATGCTGAAACCGAGACTGCAGAAACCGCCGTTGACTCTACTCTTGCTTCATCTGGTGCTGAACCTCAAGACCTTAGTGCCGTGTCCAGGAACGAGGTTGCTCATTTGGGTATGTCTTCAACGGATGCACATATCGAAAACTGTGCCATCGTCGACGTTGAAGCTAAACATCATTTTCACTTTTCTCAAATGAATAGCCCACAATACTGGAGGTGATTCCACAAATCCAGATTCCACTACCGCAGCTCATGACGATCATCGAAACACTATGAACGATTTGCATCGAGGCTCTATGAATGACCCCTTGGGCATAGATAGTACGTGAAGATCATTCTCATTCACATTAGCACGTATTGAAGAGCGATTTTGACCAAGTTGATTCACATTTTTCCACAGGATCTTTCCAACGAGGAAGCTCCATGACAGATAACCCTCGTCTTACAGGAGGTTCCCAGGAGGATAAGAAACACTGCGCGATTGCATAATTCAAAAGTGAGAGATGATGAAACAACATAAACTTCCAAAGTGTCGTAAAAAGCAAATACATCGAAAACAAATAGATCCAGAAATCTTCAATCTTTTTTGATTTGCTTTGTTGCAAGCGTTGATTAAGATCTCTCAATACCAGGAAGCTATAACAAGGTATGATACGATGCTGATCTGCTGCTTCTTATCGTGTTGTCCCAAGTCCTTTTCACATGTCAAGGAGTTTGAAATGTTTTGATTTTGCAATTAGTTTGATCTGAGTAATTTCATGCATGCTGATGCTAATTTACCTTTCCAATTGAATTTCGTAGTGACCAACAACACGTCGTCAAGTGCACCAATGCCTCCTCTAAGTAAAAATCAACGATTTCCACCTTGGGTCATTGGAGGTGGATTTCTAGGAGCTGGAGCAGCCTGTGTTTTCGCACCAAAGCATGTGCTCGAGTTGTCACTTACAAGGCCTGTACTCGATGATTTACATGTGGTTTTGATGAGGTCTGTAAAACATCTCGATCATGAATGTTTCGCTGTTGCACGTGTATTGCACATGTTGACTGATGGACAATATTAGATGTTTTGGGGCGCAAGCAATGCTCGTCGGTCTCACTTGGAGTCTCATCAAGCCTACCAGGAGAGCATATCAATACTTTGGAGCAGCAATGTTGCCATTCTTTGCTTTCGACTATTGGGCAATCAATTCTGGTCTCTTCACTTCCTTGATTTGGGCTGATGTTGTTGGAAATGTGGTATTCCTCTCAACCTGTATGCACGGTGCTTCCATATGCATCGATTAAGTAAACGTAATGCTGTTTTATAAAACGCTGTACATTTGTAGGGCTTCCAATATATCTAAAAGTCTATAACCGACGAACCCATCCTACAATTTGCGATCTACTGCCAGAAAACACTACAGATAATCCCCTCGCTCTTCCTGCAGCAGCCCGTAACTCTGCTATCTCCAGCTTCTGGTTGATACCGTCCAATCGCACTTCTCCAATGGCGAGAAATCGCAGCTGTTTGCAACGGGTTACTACTGATTTGAAGTCTGGCCGATCATAAAAGACCGGGAAGACACAAAGAATGGCCAATTTCGACATCATAGGGAGTGTCTCGCGTAACTCAAGAGTCCAGAATTCAATATCGACAATTAGTTTCGTCTAAAGAGAGGATTATTATTGAATAAGATTCCGCTTTATTGTCCAAGTTTCAATTTGTAGCAACGACAAAGATACTTACTAGATTCTCAAACAAGGTCAACGTTGGCCCAAGATGGTTCCTAAGCATGTCTTCACCACCACACTCCAGCGACTTTATTAACAGCTTATTCGGGACAGTCCTCAGTAGTGCGACTACGGCTATTAAATCAAAAGTTAGAAACGGTACGTTCCCTTCTGCAGACTAAGAAACTTACAATCAGGTGCTCTCAAACACAAAAACAAGGATTGCAGTGATCCAAAGGCACTTAAACTGGTAAGCCTATACGGATTACCCAAGTAGACTCTCAACGAAGTAATTCCAGGAGCCGTGTTTCCCAACGCAAGCAAATTTAAATCAGGTGGCGAATCAAGTTCCAAATCTACTAGTTTCGGGTTTGCTTGCAACACGGCTTGCAACAGATTCATTGAAAGAGATTCTCTTTGCCAAAACCTAAATTGAAACCATTCGAGATCTAGAGCTCTCAGATTCTTGAAAGTCTCTCCGACGACCTACGATTCCAAATGCTTGGTTGTCAGGCGTGACAGGTACAATTAGACACGAAACTGACAGATAAAACGTACATTTAAAGCTTGCAATCCCCAAACACTACTTGCTTTTGATAATTTCAGTCTACCAACGTTGGGACAAGCTAAGGCAACCTGTCTCAACAGGCCAGGTTCCATTAATGGCCCGACACTCAAACACGTTATATACTCTAGCCTCGCCGACAAACAAGACAGTATTACAGGCACAGGTAGCGGAAACGGTGTTGACGTTGGACTAGCGTCATCATCATGCAGCACAACCAAAGACCGTTGGCTAAACGTCAGAGTGCCCGGCATCTCATCAAAGTGAAGTGACTTGATTCTTCGAGTCCATAACGGTAGCTCTAGGAGTTTTAGATTCGATATTCCGTGATATGGGAATTGAGTGTAGATGGTTTGTAGGAATGCGACCTCTCTCCAAGTTCTTGACACGGACTGAATCTTTACAATGTACGGCACGTTGTCGACGGGGTCTATAGATATTTGGCCATCTGTAGTCTGTAGGTATTCGAATATCGGATATAGGATCTCGTGGAGCAGCAATGGGTTGTCCATTTGTCGTGCTGCCGTGTTTGATTGTTCACGTACTAGTGAAAGAACAAGGAATTGTGAGATTTCAAATCGACTAATCCCCATAATTGCTTAGCGTGCCACTTACTCTATTCGGTAGTAACCTTTCCTTTGGGTTGGAACTTGCGAGTTTGGTTCAAGCTCGACAAAAGCTGTGTTTCTGCTGACGATCGCTGATCTCCAACGTGATATGACGTGTCTTCTAAGCAAATAACAGTGTCTAAACCTATACAGTACCGCTCTTTGTTTCTATATAAACGTGTTTTGACTGTTTCGCCTCTCCTCACATAATTATTCGCAAAGCAACATCTGCTGTCGGTCGTTTCTTATAGCGTCGGACATCCTAAGAACTTGCTAAGAGGAAATCAGTCACGCAAAGAAATCTTCATGTCTTTTCTATGGCATGCGGGCGGTTATTGTGGCTAACATCGTTTTCTTTTTTTCAACCAACCTCTGCATCAACTCAAGGATGATGCTATCTGTACATTAAAACTTGTAAATCTATTCAAAACGATGAAACTATACTACTACATTATCGTGATCCTCAAATTTGAGGTGCTTCACATTGTGACGTCTAAGAACAAAATAATCTAACTCTACGTTGCCCATCATGCATTAGCAACCACTCTAGTATAGCATAGACCCAGTCCACTCTTTGGAGGCGCCGAGTATATTATATCCTCCGAGTGCATGACATTCTCAAAGCCTCCAAAAGACATGCCTCCTAAACTGACGCTCGGCAGACCAATCATCTTGACACAGCGTAATTTGGCACATTGAGACAATCCCTGCATTCCTGCATCAGTGACGTTAACTGCACCTTGTACAAGCAACACATTCAGATCTGCTAGCCGGCCGATATTACAAAGTGTCGTGTTTGTGACTTGCTCGAGACCAATCAATGCCAGATAATTTACTTTCGTGAGTGACGATATGACTGGTTGGAAGGCAGTGTCCGTTAACGCCCTACAATTGGATATTGATAGAGTGCTGAGCTTTGTCAATTGAGTGAGTGCTGGTAGTGATTCCGGTGTAATCACTCCGTTATGAGGCAAGAAGTGCTATAAATTTAGAAGCTAGAGTTAGAATGCCACTCGTGTGATATACGACCCAGGAACAAGGGCCCCTCCAGGCACGTAAAGGCAAATTGTTTACCAAGACTTCCAAGTTCTTGGCATGTCGTCCAATAAGCTCAATAGAGTATGAAATCCAGGCAGCAGGAAGCTCCTCTTCTCTTGTAACTCTCCCAGTAATATCAATCCTCTTCAGCTATACAATGACAACGTTTGAGCAAGTTGTACCATGGTCCACAACCACAGTCGAGACACATTACCTGAAGAAAGAAATCCGGGGCCTTGGACGACAGTAACACGAAGCACCGATGAAATAACATTCCCTGACTTTGCAACATGATCAGAGATTCCAACTTTGTGCACGACTTTATCACGTTCGAGATAACGTCCTCATCCGTGTTGACCAAAGTCAAGTGGCGGCTGCACGATAAGATAATTTTAGTATGTGGCAGCATAAATTGTGTATTGATGACGTACATTCCAGGTCCAGATCTCGACAAGACCAGGTTTGAGAACAATGGATTTAATTTCTCCAAATTAACGTCCTTCCATAGAGTGGGTTCAAAGACTAACCGATCAAACTGTCTTGAGACTAGTCGAACTGTGGAATAGAAGCGTTAGACACGTCGTTCTTGGCTTGGTCACTGAGATCAAACAACACAAACAAATCACACCGATGATTCCCACGAAAGCATACCTTCAATGCGTTTACGAAGCGAGAGCCGTTGAATGAACTGGATCAGCAGTTCAGGCGGGACCACAGCCGGTAGTTTCTTCTCAGTATCCATGATCATATGTTCAAGTTACAAGCCAGATCGCTTAAGTGAACAGCTCCGCCAAAAAAGGGCAAAAGGCATATCTAAACATAAGACCACGCGAACCGCGTTGATTACGTTGGTGATGATATGATTGTAGTTACAGAACTGATTATAGTACAAATTGGAAACAGTAGTAAACTTTCGTTATACAATAACGATCAAAGTAAGTAAATTCAGCCAACTGGCAGTAGGCCGCCCATGAGCATTCCACCATCCACACCAGCTACCAGTTGAGCCATAGCAGCCTGATCAATGTCTTGATGTGGCAGCCATCGGAGAGGAGCGAGAAATACAAGACTCGCTAAAACAAACAGCCTCCATCCTATCCTAAAAATTATGCCAATAATCAAGGCAGCCAGAGCCATCATCAACACTTCTACTATAGAGTAGAATCGAGCAGTTTCACGGGGTACGGCGAATATAGGAGTATCGGGCTCGTTGTTTACTGTTGGAGTTTCAGGCCCTGTCTCTAGATCGGCCGAGGGTGCTGATTCAATAATTTCGGATGCGGGTGTAGGTACAGAGTTGGTATTATTGGGTCGCCACAAGACTGACGACAATGAGAAGCGACGAGGTGTAACTTTGGACTTTAAGCTTCCAGATCGACTCAAGGATGCACCGGCTGGCAAGTCAGTAACAGCATCTTGACCTTCCTCTCCATCCGCTGATACTTCCTACAAAAGGGCGGAGTCGAGGTGTGAGAAAAAAACTCCACTCAAAGGATTATGTGCCTGGCAACATATACACATTCTCAACATGTTTGCTTACTTTGGAAGACGAGGAATGAGATCCCTTGCCAGGCGATTTCCTAAATCTCGGAAACCAAGTACGACCTCTCTCCTGTATATGATTAGCCGACATCGCTCTCGGTCGTCGTTTCCTAGTATCTACATCCATTCCTCGTTCCCACTGAGCAGGATAGGACAAGAACTGGCCCACCATGGGAGAATCAAGAGCTTCACGGATATCTTCTTCCCATGTCGAGCTTTCAGGTGGTGTATCAGTGGTAGGAGATAAAGGTAATAATATTTCGGGAGACAAGTCTCGTAAATCATTGTTTACCATGACGGTACCTAGATTACATATGCCCCGGCGACACTTTAATACACACGTTGCACTTGCGTCTCCACATCCTGCTCTGATGATAATACCATCTTCATTGTCTTCTCGAACATCAACCAATTCAGGATCTAGCAGACGATCACCGGCTTTCAAAGTTAGTTCCAGACCAGTCCACCTTCTAGCGTCAAGCCGAACCTCGAGTTCACGAGATCCGTCTTCATAGCCTACTCCAGAATCATCGTCATCATCTGTACCAGCTTCCTCTCCATCTTCTGGTCGTCGAGTTCGATTACTACTATTGGCACTATTACTAGACCAAACTACTTCGAATTCACCAGCTTCATTCCATTGTTCTGTATCTATCTTGACTCGAGAGCCCCAATGAGATAGATGAGGTGGAAAACCACGTCGATTGAGATATTCACAGACTAACGCGACACTTTTCGGTAACTCTGCATATAGGAATTGCAGATACGACGACGAGAAGAGAGAATGCTTCGGATCCATGAGAAGGGTACATGATACGCGTAATCTCGGAGCAGTAGATAATAATGTGCTGGGTTTGGTATCGTCATAATCAGGCTCGATAAGCCAAGTCAGTAGATCTATATGTCCTCGAACATGGGATGGTCTTGTTGCATGATGTCCCATTGGTATACTCACGGCAACACATAGATGAGTTGAGCGAGCTGTTGACGAGTGCATTAGAAGTGCAAAATCTCGTGGACTATACAAGACAGTGTGTTTGAGTACTGTCGATCATGAAGAAACCGATCGGTGAGAACTCACCTAGAGCCTCTGACTGGTCTCATGCCATATCGCACAATCGACGTTTCGGGATCAATGCGAGAGATCAGTTCATGTTCATCAAACAATGTATCCCCTAGAGTTTCAGACAGATCACTGTTAATACATTGATCATTCTTCAAAACAATGTCAAACTGGGCCCGGTTCTGGTAAGACCCACAAACCGGCCAGTCACTCAAAACACGATGGTGGAGGTGGCAAACTCACAAAAGTCTCGACCCTTCAATGATGACACCACAGATCCTAGACTTGCAGCGTGTGCCTCCACAGTGGTCGATACTCTGACGGCTACTTGTTGGTTCGGTGCATTCCTTCGATAGAGTTGAATGTTCAGCGACGTGTCCCGAATGTCGACTTTGGACCAATCTCTCGCATTTAGGAGCAATCGGTGAAGCTCTCGACCACGTTCTAGTAGCACTGAAACTCCTATCGGGTTACTAGAGGTACATTGGAGGTGAGAATGTTGATTACGTTTGGTGATGACTTCGAGGAGGAATGAAGGACGTTGGATGGGATCGAAACAAGTCAGAACTTACTCGGCCATGTGAGATCTCGTTCAATGAGTGAGGTTCTATGTCATGATGCTTTCGCTCTTCCTTGTTGTCTAATCGCAATGTTCTTGTTTGAAGGAGGTTTGTTTTGGTCACAAGATTGAAGATTTGAAAACGACCAGAACGAAAAAAGCTTGGACTGAGAGACGAGATCTAAGAGGTTTTGGACCTGGAACTATCATCATTTCACTTTTCGACGCGTCGTACGCGAAATCGCTCGGAACAATCGTCTAAGAAAGGCGATTATGTCTTTTGCAACTTCTAACATGTGAGTAAACGTTCCCAGTTACGCCACCAGCTACATAGATCTAGATTCCACGACCACCAGTCATCTCCAAGGTATGCCCAGTAATGTAAGAGGCCAATGGAGAAGCCAAGAACAATATAGCCTTGCCAGCTTCTTCGGCAGTGCCAGGGCGTTGGAGAGGAATTCCTATGACAGATAGAATGTTATGGTGTCATGTCTTCAATTCAACAAGCAAGCGTGATTTACCTTGAGTCCTAGCAGCTTGCATTTGTTCGGGAGTGGCGTTGCCTTGTGGGATTCCAAGAGCGATTTTTTGGCCATCAACAATAACGGCTGTGTGGAGATTAGCAAAACGTTAGTCTCTTGAACTTTTCAATAGTTCAGAACCACGTTTTTAGCTTGCCTGCACCAAGTTCCTTGGCAGCTGTCAATCTGGTTTCAACCCAACCACTATGGAAACACAAGAATTAGCGCGAAGCGACTGGATATCAGCGTAGAAGGCACATACAAGGCGATACAGTTCGTGCGGACCCCAAATGAGCCCCATTCCTTTGCCATGGTCTTTGTCAAACCAACAACACCAGCTCTAAGTTTGCAATGAAGACATTTAATGCGCTCCCTTTGTTTGGCAAGCCAACAACACAGACATGATAACAATACTTACTTGGCAGTAGCATAGTTTAATTGACCCAAGTTTCCGTGGAGACCTGAGGTGGAAGAAACCATCACAATAGATCGGTTTTCGGTGGATTTCTAAAAAATATTTCGTAACTGATTGTAAGAGTCTCAATTACAGGACACGTTCTCCTCGCCACAGATCACATACAGTTCTGAATTGGTCAGCGGCAGCACGAATGATTCTAAATGGTGCTGTGACGTGGATATCCATCATGATTTCCCATTGACGGTCCGTGGTCTTGTGGGCCATTCCATCGTAAGTAAATCCAGCATTGTTCACAATATGGTTGATCTTTCCAAAGGCCTTGACGGTCTCACCGACGAGCTTCTCAGCAAAACCTTTGGCAGTGATGTCTCCACTACCGGAAAAGTTTGGACGTGTTATACAAATTAGTGCGAGACTCCAGCGACATAAGAGGACTCACGGAACACTGTTAGGATATGAATAATTAGTTGTCTGATTATGAAAACCTTGGAAACCATTGAGCCAACACTCACGAGATAGCGTTGGCACCGATTTCTTTAGCCACAGCATCGGATTTGGAAGCATCGATATCAGTAATGACCACCTTGGCGCCTTCAGCAGCGAAAGCTTTGGCAGTTGCAGCTCCGATACCTTGTCCTGAACCCTATGTGCGTAGTGAACGTTTACCATCCATGCGAGTTTTCAACCGCATCCAGAAAGCTCCAACAAGATCACATTGCATCCATCAAAAACAGCAACCTCGATGTCATTTAATGGCTGAAAGTGTTCACTTTTCACATACGAATCCAATAAAATTTCCGTCAACATTGTTGTGACGTCAGCAAGGACTGATGTTGCAGAAAACATGTGCAAGATGCACTAAAACATGATGCGAAACAATAAAACTTCGTTTAAGGTTGCCTCATACCGTGATGATAGCTACTTCATTGTATAGGAGTCCCTTGGGGTATAGACTGGTTTGGTTGGGAGATGAGACAACTTTTTCGACAGTTTCGTCCTGGAGATGAGCTCGGATAGCAGAGATTCGAGCGGCCATAGTTCTAAAGATAAAGCACTTGATTCGTTTACTTGGTATTGCTGGTTAGGTAATGAAATCTGTCTCGGAGTGTGAGAGGCTGCTTTAGGTGAGACAACAGTATGGACGCTCTTTCTCGCAGCACGATCATTAATCTTGCTAAAATAACTAGATATATTGATAGTGCACAGTTGTATCGTAGAAAAGTAAAGAGAGTAGTTTTAAATACTTACAGACTGATTGGTTTTTTGATGCTTGTGTGTGGTGTACTATTATAAATCAGCATCTGTCTCTGTGTCTGTAGATTCAACACCACCTTCGTGTACAAATGTATGGTTCTTGTGCATGCTCCTTGCCAATCCAGATGAGCTGTCAGTTTGAGCACTCCAGTTGATGGCATCTCCGGAGGACTCACCAACCCTTTCACCAATACGAATCTTGAGTGACGCCAACTGAGATTCCAAATCTTCCAGAATACGTCGTTGGTCATCGTTTGCTGGAGGCACTGCCTTGACCGTAGCCAACAATCGTTGCAGTTGTGTTGTAGCGTCAACTGCGGCAATCCCTTCCTTATTATTTACCACAACACCATCTTGATTTCCTTGCTCGTCAGAGTCGTGGATGCTGGCAGCATCTTCCTTTTCGACTGGGTCTTCGGCTGCCAAGTCACATAACGATTCCATAGATACACTGGCTTCCAAATTGGCGACCTGTCGACATAAGGGACATTGAAACATGACACATTCTGCGAGTAGAGATCGTATACATTTGTAGTGGTAGCAATGTGAGCATGGTGCCAGGAAGAGAGCTTGGAATGGGCCAATGGTGCAGAGACAGATGCAGCAATCGACGGTAGCAGTTTGACTGGGTGATGTTGGAGAGTCTTTGGATGTCGAATATGGGTTTGTGGCAGTCAACAGTTGCCTCAATGCTGTTCGGAACCTATGGTTGTGTTATGGGTAGTGTACGAGTTAGTTGAACGTCTTTTGGGAAAGTGTTTGGATACAATATGTACCTGGCTGGGTTTTCCTTTTTTCGTTGTTGGACAAACAGACTGTGGCTGTTGATGGAAATCTTCATAATCACACACTTGTATATTTCTGCGCAGCAAAATTAAAGTGTCAGCGTCAGAACGAATTAATTGATGTTATGATAGCATTTAGCACCAGACCAACAAGTACCTTCAGATTTGCCACCATAATCGACACCGAGTTGAATGATATCGCCATCTTTGAGAGGGTATGGTCGGCTTTCCTTGCCAGATGGACTCAAACGCATCCTGTTCAAAAAGGTACCTGAAGAACTTCCACCATCTTTTATATATAGCTGAATAGAGAAGACATTGAGTCAGAAAAGCTCTTGTCTTGCGAGAATCATGACTTTGCGAATGCGCGAGGTGTGACATACCTGTCCATCCTTGACCCACATCTCAGAATGACTTCGACTGACAACCTTGCTCTTGAACCAGATATTATCGATAATCTTGCCACCTCGTTGCTCTTGATTTGATGGTGTACTATTGACATTGCCAGCCAGAATAGCGCCTGGTGAGGGTGGTTGTTGAAGAGTTCCATCAGCGACGACCGAAGGAGCAGCGACGGTAGCAGGAGTAGGAGATGACAGTGAACCAGCACCGGTATTCGTTGGAGCATTAGCTGGTGAACGGACTTGTCGTCCAAGTTTCAGGACCACGCCGTCGACTAATTCACGATCGACGGGATCGAATGCTGATGAAGGTGTTGTTCTGGTTGGGTCTTTATGTGGGATGAGGAGCACTCGTATATTCTTGTCGGATAATGGAGATAGTGGTATGGTATTGGATGGCGTTGATGGAACTGCTGCTGCATCCATAGCTCGATGTATGGGTGGTGTTGATGAAGAAGGTGATTCTACGACGGGAGCTGGTGCTTGTGCAGGAGAAGAAGAGAAGAACGGTATGCGAGGAGAGAGGACCATGATTATATCGTGACTTACTTTGCTACTTTGCTCTGTATAAGGTTTCTCAGCCTGCAGAAAGAGCGAAGTTCGTGGACGTGATGCGAAGCTTTAATCGGGGAAAATTATCGATGCTGATTGGGGAGCGTGTTCTTCTCGTGATCCCAGTTCCTAACTTCCAGATGCATGGAATCGTGACCTAGACGCCACCTTAAAGTCCAGCGATATTTACTGCCAAACGACATTGCGGCATTTTCCAGGACGTTGAGGCTCGTGTGTCGCAGTGTGCGTCTCGAAGAGTACAAGACTTCGAGAAGACCGTAGACGAGATCAACGCTTCAAATTTCAAAAATAATATCTATTCTAATCCTCTAGTCTTGTATTGCCGTTGTTTGCTACTTTGTAAAGTTCTATCTTTGCTATATTCTCTTGGTTTTTTTGATTTTCTGGAATTCACGTGAATAAAACTCCAGCAAAGTACGCTCTGCAGCAACTATCGAACGACGTGTATTGCAACTAAACTACTGCTGGATCTATTGCAGGACACATCTTGCTTTTTTCTTGTCAGCTCTCTATCGAAAACATGAAACGCCACAAACAAGTTACGACAACACCAGATCTTGCTCTCACAATGTGCACTCTAAATGCAAAATCTATTTACATTACATGTAGAGATTAACTGCTATCTCATTTACGAAGTTGTGTGGCCTTGTATGGGTTCAATCTGCGTATGTGTGGTGCTTTTTTCTTTGATCAAACCGTGCTTCGGCTCCAATTTCATTTACGAAGTTGTATGGCCTTGTATGGGTTCAATATACCATTCGGATCAAACAATGCCTTCAAATCTTGCATCACTCTTATGGCTTCTGGAGATTTCGAATAGCCAATACAATCTGTCTTCATGTATCCTAGCCCGTGTTCCGCAGATATGGACCCTCGGTGCTTGGCTACCCACTCGTATATGAATGGTTCAAGACAGTTTTGCACTTCGTCATTGTATTCTTCACTCGTGACGTTAATGTGGCAATTACCGTCTCCTATATGACCATAGCCTGCCACGCTCGTTATGTACTTGTCGTAAACAGCCTTGTGGTTTTGCTGTAGATGTGTTCTGACGGCTTCAACTAGTCCGTAGTATACGTTGATCGGAATTGACATGTCGTATTTGTATTGAGCTGGGTGCTTTGAGCCTAATAAACGATGGTTGAGAATTGATTCAGGATATGAGCATAAAATGTGAAATACTCCGCAGCAATCTTGACTAACCCGCTAATGGAATCCCTTCACGAAGATTCCAAAAAGAGCGCATTTGAGTCCCGTCTTGAGCTAGCACACCATCAGATACAACAGCATCTGAGATTACATTTTCCAGATACGACGCCAGTTTTTCCGAATCATGAGTTGCATTAGAGCCGGATGTCTCAATCAATACTATTTGTCGAGTAAATTAGTCAGCCTCGAATGCAAACGCGAGTTCTATTGTGGAAGAGCTTACCGTAAAACGGAAAGGAGTGACTCAATGGATTTCGGACCTCTGGCAACTTGGAGTTCATCATTTGCATAGCTTGATCGTCCCAGAATTCAAAGGCCGACAAAATTTCTTGTAGATCTGTCTTGGCTTGCGTAAATGCCTTTAAAACAGATTCAAAGGAATCACATCCTAGCACTGCTACATTTACAGCTGATGATTTTTTCGGGGTCAACAAGGACACGGCTGTGACTATTCCTAATGTGCCTTCTGCGCCAATAAATAATTGCTTGATGTCATATCCCGTATTGTCCTTTCGAAGCGTTGATAGTGAGTCGATGATAGTACCATCAGGCAACACAACCTCCAACCCCAGCACATTCCCTCTCAACGAGCCCATTCTCAATAGCCGAACGCCTCCTGCGTTGGTAGACACGTTGCCTCCTATCTGACACGTTCCCTTAGCTCCCAAGTCCAGAGGCACTGTATATCCGCGATCATGTAGGTACAGGTCGAGTTTCTCGAGAATAGTTCCAGCTTCACATACTACTATGCCAGATATGTCGTCAAAGGACTTGATCTTGTCCATTCGTCCCAAGGATAATACTACTTCATCAAATACGGGCACCGAGCCTCCTACTAGCCCAGTGTTTCCACCTTGAGGCACCACAGCAATATTTTGTTTATTACAGTATGATAATATTTTGCTGACCTCTTGTGTACTTGATGGCCTGTAAGAGCACTTGTTAGGTCAACACAAAAACACCGAACGTTAAATGGTCCAGAGTAATATAACTGTATAGACTTGAGATTTCTTCAAATACCTTAGGACGACCTTTGAATGTCCTCGGTACTTCTTAATCCAGTCTGTGTTGTACGAGTCCAAATCGGATGTCAAGACACTTCCAGGCGATGGTAGTATGGATTTGAATATCTTGACATCTTCATCTGAAAGTATTCGATATAATGGATTTCGTGAAGCTTTGGTATGGGCGAAACGCCTGCTTGAAGCGAGAACAATTGATGTAAAGACAGCTTTTGACATCTTGCACTCTCTCAGTTCTAAGCGGTCGGTCTCCAGTTCCTAGTTAAGAACTAGTGTTAGATGCTTAATTCGCTGATTATTTAACTGATGCGTACTGTAGTCGTCTTGACTCAACTTGAAAATGTCTCCTTTTTCTGTGTTGCACCCCCTATGCTGTAAAAAAAGGAAAGGACAACGGTTGACGGTGGCTCTTCCCAAAACCACAAAAAAGTTAGAAGAGCTTTCGAAAAGTCGAATTGGTAGGGAACTGCAGGACGGTTCGATTCAGGAATCATGGCCTGGCTTCCTTCCGTGGTGGGATTGCTGATTCTCGCAGCAGCAAGAGTTATAGAGGCAGGCTCCTGTAATTCGCTAATGGTCGATCCCAACCCACAAACTCCTACGACCAATTTACTTGGCGGAAAAGATGTATTCAACACGGGAAACGCATCCTTCTCCCAAAATACGGGCTCCTTGGTCTTGACTCCCTCATCACCCACTTCCAGTACGCAACAGTTTTAGCACCAACGATGCATGCCAAGTCATACTGTGTCGGAACGTGTACTGACATTCATTGGTCGTGTGTAGTATGGACATCAGCGTTGGATTCTTTAGGAGGATGCGTCGACTTGAGCGGATGTAAGAGTTCAACTCCGATTCATGGTCGTTGTCATGGCTTGTTTGTGGAAGCTAACGCATCGTTTTACTTAGTCGATCATATCTATATGAGAATTCAAGTACGATAAAGCTGTGGTGCCTCATGCTGTGCATCGCACCAGTGCAACTGATTTTGCTCCCTTTTTCGAAACTTGTAGCTTCCTACAAATGGTGCCAGCTTTCTAGTCAATCTGCTAGTTAGTGACGTGGGATGTACCGTTGGTGCACCAGTCTCCGTGACTGCATCATTAGACATATCTGTTTACGCTGGATACATATCGGCCAACGTTTACGTAAGTAATTTCCAAACGATTCACGCCTTTGATATATTTGACTCATCATCCGAACATTTACAAACTAGGATGTGAATCTACCATTATCTAAATTCCTGACACCGAATTCCATGTCGGCATTGTCTAGGATTCAAGCCATTCAGTTTTCAATGTTTAGCAACGTCGATATGAATGGAGCATACCCATACAGTCTGATCGACTTCCAGGTGCAGGCTGGACCAGTAGGATGTGCTGTAAACGCAATCCTTGCTAGCCCTGTAAATTCACCTAATATTACCGGCATACTGGCTACCAGTGTACGTTGCTCCGGCCAGTCTTTCGACATATGAGTCTAGATTTAACTCCATTTTTTTGTTTCGTAGACATTATACGTGACTCCAAGTCCAACTGTCGCAAAAAATACCAAAAGCACTCAAACACCAGTGGCAACTTTACCGGCAGTCACACCTTTACCCTGTGGAACAGTTTTGGAACTTGATCCCAACCCAGATAGCACCAGTTCGAATTTATTGGGAGGTCCAGACAGCATTAGCGATGGACAAGTTGTACAAGGATATTCTAATGGGAATATTGTTATTGATTTGCTGCCGGCAGCAAGTGATGCTAGTACGTAGACTATGTGTCAGATATTTTTTTGCGATTTGCATCAGCTGTATGCTGAAAACATATTTTCTATCAGTTTACACGACTGCCTTCAACCCTGGATCTGTCTCTGCTGATTTGAGACAATACTCGTATCTCAAATACTCGGTAGAGCTTCCAAACGCTGGAGCTACCTTCCAGCACGGTTTCACCATGAACCAATGTAAGTTAAATCGATGCCACATTGGATTGAAAGATGCATCACTGATCAATATCAATTACAGACCCAAACACAACATCTGCCGGAGCCACGGCATACACGATTGACAATTATGCCACAACGTACTTTGATTTCCTCCCGTATGCTATTCAAACGGGCTCTACGACATACGACGTCAGTATCCCATTGAGCAGTGTGTTGGGATGGAATTTGATTCGAATGCGTGAATTTATTATTCTTAATTTCAACGTGAGTAATCTCAGCGTACTTTTAAGACAACAAAAAAAGCTTATGGATTGTACAAAACAATAGCCGACGAATTACGCCCCATATATGCTCTCCAATGTCAGACTAGAGTCTGCATCATGCTATACCTCAACAACAGTGGCTCCAACACCAACAGGACTACCATCAGCACTTACAGCAACTGCAACACCATCTGGCACAGCCTCTCCTGTTTCTTCTGTAACTCCATCTGCTGCCGTCAAGATTCTCGCTTCACCTACTCCATCGTGCAACAAGCTGGTGATTGATCCGAGTTGCAATAATTGTTCTGCTGCTGCTCCTGGTTCGACAACTACCAATTTACTTGGTGGAATGGAAACCATGGGTGCTACTGGGTATGCGGTTGTAGTTTAAAATATTTTTGTTTCATATTTCGCTCAATTTGTCCTTGTTTTTAGAACTGCATCGCTGATTTACGGAAGTACGAATGGAACGGCCTCATTGTCTTTGAATGTTGCCAAGTATCCATCTTGTATGTACTTTGTGTCATATTTGAGCTCCATCGTCATCCGAAGTGTGATATCTCTGACCTCTAATCGATATTTGTTCCTCCAGACTGGAGCACACTTTTAACCCCAGGCGGTTTATGTTTCGACGTGACTCCATACAGCACTCTCCGATACATTATTCAAGCACCAGCAGCTGCAACATGGATGCACGGCTTCGAATTCGATACAACTGCATGTGACGGCAGTACAGATACAGGAACCGGGGTGACGCAATATGTCACTGCGTCATCATACCTCGTTCCATACGGAAACATTACCAACACTTATATTGCTTCGATACCATTGTCGACTTTAATTCAACCAAATTCCAAGATGGTTCGAGTCAAAAAGTTTAGTTTGCTCAATTTCCAGGTGAGTTAAAAAACCTCCTACAAATGTAATTGGATTGTCAATACTCACAATTAATTTCCTCACATAGCCTACTGGACAATACGTAATTTCATATTTGGGATTAGAAGCATCATCGTGCCCAGCGCCGGTTGTGCCATCCCCAGCTCCATCAGTCGCTCCATCACCGGTAAAACTCCCATCAGCAGGTCCATCTCCAACAGCTCAACCTTCATCAGTTGCATCGCCGTTCGTCGCTCCAGCTGTTATGCCAGCATGCAGTGGGGTGCTTACACCGCTCACACCTTCTCAATCCTTTGCAACCTCATTATTGGGTGGTGGTCAAGGAATTGGTGTGGGAACCGGTGTTTTGACAGGTGGAAAGATTGTTCTTACTCCTGTAAGTGTTTGATAAGATTGATTAATCTTTGTTTGCGCCGTCAACCTAAAGTACCCAAATACTTTCCAATTATAGGGAGCAAACGACTACTTTTATTCGTCACTCTACCCAGCCGGTAAATGTTTCGACGCCTCACAAGGCTACGCCATGCTTCGTATCGGAGTGCAAATGCCACCAGGAGGAGGCTTCTCAGTTGGGGTCCAACTATACGATGCAACATGTGCCGCGAACGGCGCACTCCACTACTTTGGTTTTTCAACCCAATTCGGATTAGCATCAGGCCAAAGTGGTATCCTCACAATCCCTATAACGCCCGAACTAAGCAACACGGATCTAACCCGTATCAAAAACATTATAATCACTGGTTTCGCATCCACGAATGCTGGAGCAACGTTTAATATCACTGGAATGCAGTTAGATGGATGTGGTGTTACGGGTGGTAGTCCATGTGCGAGAGATGTGCTGTTGGATGATTTCAGGATGGCACGTGTGCCTTCGAATGTTTATTCGGTGGGAGGCAAGTATAATTTGAATGGAGGAGACTATTATGTCGAGACAGGAAATATCTTGTTGAATGCACCTACATCGGCTGCTCTTGGTAATGGTACTTGGATACCTGGTGGTTTGGCTACCCCGTATCAACCTGATCCAACTGCCAATCCTGGAACTGCTCCTACGACGAATTACCTGTCGCTTCGTAAGTTTTATTGATAGTACTTGGCTGGACCACTTGGCGCAAACTCATCAATGGTTTTTTTCCTCCTTACAGGATTCGAGCAATATGGATGTTTCGACATGACGAATTATAGATCAGTCATGTTTACGATGCAGGCACCAGCTGGATTCGATTCCAACATCACATTCACTCAACGAGCAGCCAATTGTGTTGCTCGAGGATTCGATTCTCAGTATCACAAATTGTCTGAATTTGTGACACCAAACAATCAGGCGCAAACCGTCGAGCTACCTTTATCTTCGTTTACCAAAAATTTAAACGGTGGTAACTTCGATTGGGGACATACCAGAGTAAGCTGAAAGCTTTGAGTTGTACATCTAGTATCGATCATAACATTATCATTCTCGTTGGCAGGATTGGACATTCGTAAACGCAAACGGCGGAAACCTCGTCTTTTACAAAACGTGGCTCAAGGGCACGTGTGGTCTCGGAACACCAGTAGCACTAGCTAGCCCCGTAGCCCAAGTATCACCAGTCGCAGTCCCAACAGGCGCAGCAGGTCCAGCAATGCCAGCATGTAACGGCCTGATAAATACCATAACGCCTGGAACAGCAGTAAATTTAGCAACGCATGGAGGCCAAGGATTCGGATTCACGAATGGGGGAACAGCTACACAAGCTAATGGTGTTATTACATTGTTGCCTGGAGCGCTAGGAAACTATTTCTTTAGCATGCTTGCCAATACTGGATGTTTCAATGCTCAGGCGTATAATGTGTTGAGGGTTTCTGTTGCTATGCCTGTTGGTGGATCGTTTTCGATTGCGTTTGATGTGTATGCTGCCGAGTAAGTACACATCGTCCAGCCACATAGTGTCTTTTTTCGCTTACCTTCGCTCTCTCTCAGCTGTACAACAATGGCACGAACAGTATACTTTGACAACACTGCCACATACGGAGTCCCCGTCGGCGGCACAGGAATAGTGACGATCCCTCTCACGCCCCTCCTCGCAAACTCAGACCTCGCAAACCTTAAAGCTGTAGTCATCAGTGGCTTTACAGCAACCGGAGCAGCAAACCCATACAAGATATTCGGCATACAGTTTGATAACTGCCAGTATAATCCTGCTGCTCTGACCTATAACGGACAGACATGTCAACGGGATGTGCTTGTAGATGATTTCAGAGCTGCGAGACCAGTGACGGGTCCTTCTGGAACTGTTGTGAAGTATAATTTACTGAATGGTGATTATGGTGCTGTGGGTGCTACGTGGGCAATCAACGCTCCTGCTGCTGGAGCTTTTACGGGGACTGGGACGTTGACGATTGCTAATCCTGCTAATCCACCGTATGCTTCGGACCCGACGTATAATCCATACATGCCTGCGTCGTATAACTGGTTCTTTTTCAGTAAGAGTTTTGTTTGTGAGGTTGAAAAGTGATTCAGTGATTCCATTATCTCAACTGATTTTATTTTTTTATTCAAATTTAGAATTTGACCCAGCTGCATGTTTCGACATTAGCCAGTACACTGCAATCATGTTTACATACTCAGTATCTGATCCAACATTCTGGGCCAATATGACATTAACACAAAAGGCTCCTGATTGTACTACTCGTACAATAGGTATGTTTGAATCGGGACAGGTTTTTTTTTGTCAGACTGAATCTAACCATATGCAACGACAACAGATTCTCAATACCACCCCTTCTCCACATTCACATCTGGCGCGGCTGCCATAAAAACATATACTCAACCGCTTTCCAGCGTGCCATACAATCTCGCTGGTGGATATTACGACCGAACACATCTTAAGGTAAGACAAGAAATACCGACATGTCGCAATGTTTTTAAGAAGTATCGTTACGACTTGTGAAAACACTGACGGGGCTTTTTGTTCACTTAGGACTTTACATTTGTCAACATGCAACCTGCAAATGCAAATGTTGTTCTAACTCTGTATCAAATATGGCTTAAAGGGACATGTTAAACTTTTAAGGAGCGTTGATCGCTCTTGACGACCTCTTTCATAATAAATTTGTATAGTTGTGAGTAAGTCGGCTCTTCATCTGCGTCGCTTTTTGGTGTTTGTTTGAACTGTGCTGGAATTAGACGCGTTCACGCTGCAGACGAACGTGAATAATTCTCGGCATGTCTCTAAAATGAGTATTTAAGTATGTCTTTGAACCTGAAATTTGAAACGTCCTCACTTCCAAACCTCGCTCCCTTCCCCAAAAACAAAAACTCCAAAAAATGCGACGAATACGCCTCCCTCCATCAACAAAACCATCCAAGCTCCCCGGCATAATAACCGCTCTCTTCGCAATCTCAATCCTCGTGATATCAACACTGGCTATATCTCATTTTATATGGCCATACATTCGTCGTAAACGAAGCTATTTCCCAAAGGGACACATCCCAGGTCTGAGGAGACCCAGGATCAGGACGATGAAGGGCAAAACTAACAAAGGAGTCACGCCCAAGTTGAGGAGGAAGAAGGGGAATCGTGTGCCTGCTGCTAAAGGGATGCTTGGAAGTGGGAATTGGATGTCATCTGTTAGGAGGTTCAGATGATGTGAAGAGATCACATGGTGCATTCTTTTGCCATGGATCACTTGTTTTTAGGGTTGTAATATGCTGGATTGTGAAGAATGCACAAAGTAGAGTGAGTAGCACCATGACACTGGTGCCTTTTTTTACTCAATTGACACGTTCTCTATTTATTTACAGATGAATGAGGGGGCTTATTAACAGTACAATGTGGGGAAGCCTGCTGTATTCTGCCTCTATTTTGAGTCTTGATCCACATCAGATGCATTGCCATTCTAGTGTAAAATAATGTGAATATCAACAGTAGATACATAGTATTTTTTTTGGCATACTTACAATCACAGTGAGACCAGCACGAAAGTCCGCCAGTTTCTTGAATGCAGCAGTGACTTGTTCATCTTTTAAACCAACAGGTCCTTCTAAATCAAAGCGTAATTCTCTACTCCAATCTACCCAAGAAAATTGAAGTCAGTTGGTCGCTAGCGAAGAAAAAGCCATAAAAAACGCTCAGATACCTGCGACGGTAATGTCATCTAGAGCCTGCAGCTCTGGATAGTCCAAACTACTCAAACACTCGACGCCAGAAGCTCCTGTCATTCGATCTATTAGTGCACCAGGCATGGACAGGCTGGCCACGTAGAGTGCAATAGCAGCGACTGTTATTGGCGGCTGATATAGTATTATGGATGTACAGCTCCTATGTGTTCGGTCGTTGAATTTTTTTTGTCGTTGACCATGCATCGAAGTTTTCATGACTTACGCGTCATCACACAACTCTAGCGTTAATCTTTTTAATGATTCCGAGCCTAATGAGAAAAGCAATAGACTGTTGAGCAAAAGAAATGGGCAATCCACTGTGGTGATGCGCTAGATCGTCTACCTCCTATGTCATCAATGAGTTTTAAAGCATAATAATGGGGTAGAGCCACCGAAAAGTCAAAACATAAAGCTTCAGCCAGCATTTCTTCAGTTGACTGTATGGCGTTGCTCCATCTTCTGTATTCCTGAAAACAAAACAAGGAAACCTCGTCAATAGGGATGGATGCAAGCGCATCACCTCGTGTGCTCCCTGTCGACACTAACATACCTTGCTGGATTCTGTTATGGTTTGTTTGGCAATGATTTTGACCGTGGATATGATGAATATACGAAGCTTTCGATAGGAATCACTCAGTTTGCATGATAGATAGAGTGCAGCGGGAGCGACCTCATAAGGATTTACATCTCGTAATGACTTGCGAAGATAGAATCGTTGTAGAAAATACTTTGCTGTTGCCACCGTCTCTGTTGATCTAAGGGAAGCAGGGGAATGTTAGAATGTGATGACTTGAGCAACAACCAATACCAACATGAACGATGCAATAGACATACAGTTTCAAGTCTCTTCCTATTCTCCGTATGTATATACAAGCCCACGCCTTTTGAGCAGCTTCGTCTCCGGGCGAAAATCCATCCTGTACTGATGGTGTCTTGCTCAAATCGTCCACTGAGAACATCCATTGATCCATTATTAGATTGATATCAAGCGATGCTGCTACATGTAAAAGGTGAGCTATTTTTATATGCGGTCAAGCTTGAAACGATGCATGTGTTGAATGTCGAGAGCGCTTAAGCCCGATGAAAGTTATGAGTATTCGAGGAAATAGAGCGGTAATGTATTGATTCGCGTTAAATCACGTTATTTAGAAGGTTGAAGCTCCTGGATCTACTCTCGAAGCTAGTCTTGTCACGATCCAAACTGTTTTTCCAAATGTCTAGGTAGCTCGTTCAACATGGAGGTCAAGGAAGAGGAAACCGATGAATCCCCCATGATATTCCGTATAAAGAAACAACCAAAGGCTAAGAAGGCAACCTCGACTGTTGCTGCCAAAGCAAAAAAGCCAACACAAACAGCAACTGTCGACGCACAGGACATCAATATTGCTACTTCAGAGGTAGAAAATCGTATTGATACCTCATCAAAGAAGAAACCTGCTGGTAGAAAACGTAAACTTGTTGCTCCAAAGGATCCGGAAGCTCCCAACATCAAACAAGAACAAGCTCCCGTCAGTTCCGAGCAACATAGAGATCCACCGCTACGAGATCCTGATGCTAATGATAGTGATGATTTTGAAGACTTGGAATCACCAAAGCCAGTCAAATCAACCGCAAAGAAACGAAAACGTTCCAAAAAGTCGACTAGCCCTGAAGACTTTCCACTCGATATGCCAAACTTTCTAGTAGATCTAGATCTGCTCTTCCGTGCTGTAAATACCATCGTCTCGTTTTGTACCATTCAGCGAGGATTAGTCTGTACGTTTGATGCAATCAAGGCTTCTGTCGAGAACATTTACAAAAAGTAAGTGTGTAGAGGCCTGTCGGTTAACTGTGTGATGACAAGAGACTTTTTTGTTGATATCTTATGATGGTGGTGTATGAAGCTGTGGCAACGCATTAAACCGCGAAGCTTCTTTCCTCTGTTGACACTGCTGACACGTTGGTATTTCACAATTAGCGAATTCACACTCGACAAACTATCAGAACTCAAAGCTATATCCCCCATACTATTCAACATATTTTACGTCAATGAAGCTGCTCTGGAAGATGCATCCGTAACTCAAATGAAATCAACACCATCAAATACCAATAATGATGATACATATGTCCTCGTTATCGAGTTTACGGATGCAAGGCCTCCTAAACCAAAGCTAAAGCCAGGCTCGTCAAAAAAGAAACAGACGGATGACGAGAAGAAGCTGTTTGGAAGTCGTAACCTGTTTCTGAGAGAATCAGTGGCTGGAACTTCCAAGACAAAAACGATTACTACGCTGATCGAGAAGAGGAATACGTCATTTAGGACTTGTTTACTGGAGTTTTATGGAAAGGCTTTGGATCAGGTAAGAAAGATTTTGGGGGAAACAAGGGTGCAGTAGAGGCTAAGAATGTTTTGACCTCAAACATTTTTTAGGACGAGGATGCAGTCGCCAAAATAATAGAAATGGCTAAAACATCACTAGCGCTGCCTCCAAACCAAGGAATGAGTCTCGTAGGATCACTTTTCTCATCCCCATCACGGACACTTCCATCCACAGATCGACCATCATCACTATCTGACCTTATACAACGATTGAAGAATCAGCCATTTTATCGTAATCAAATTGTGGAGAAAGGTTTTAGGACGACAGAAGCAAATCCAGCTTCTTATGGTGAATTGACGACACCCTTGTCTGATGAGCTGGCGACTGCTTTGATGGAGGCCAGTACTATATGTAGGTTGTTCACGCATCAGGCTCAGGCTTTGAATGCGTTGGATAAGGGTGACCATGTCATAGTCGCTACTTCTACATCCAGGTACAGCAAAAAAGTCTACAAAAGCATCGCAGTATGAAATATTTCACATCTAACCCGCTCTTACTCTCTAAATAGTGGAAAATCACTCATATACCAACTTCCAGTCTTGAAAGGCCTAGAAGCGAATCCGAAATTACGTGCCTTGTATATATTTCCAACCAAGGCCTTAGCACAGGATCAACGACGCTCCTTTTTGAATATTCTTGAGAATTGCCCGTCTCTCAAGCCTCGAGTACGTGCTGAGACATTTGATGGTGATACACCAAGTGTGTCGAGTACTCGTCAGGATATTCGTGAGAATGTGCAAGTCATCTTCACGAATCCGGATATGCTGCATGTCACTGTGTTGCCTCATCATGCTCAATGGAAGGAATTCTTTGTGAATTTGAGATTTGTGATTGTTGATGGTAAGGGAGCAGTTTTGTTCGCAGCCGAAACCAAAAAATCACAACCTCACAACTGACAATTTCCCTCTCTTTATCAGAACTGCATTATTATTCCTCAACATTGGGCACGCATTGTTCTTTTGTGATGAGAAGGCTCCGACGAATATGCTCCTATTATGGAAACGATTCCGTGCAATTTGTATCGTGTTCAGCAACAGTTGCAAATCCTGTTGAACACATGAAATCATTTTATGGATTGCAGAGTGTCACTTTGATTAATCAAGATGGTGCTCCACATGGTCAAAAGCATCATGTGCTCTGGAATCGTGAGTTTCTATAATAATACAGCGCGATCCTATTAGCTTTTTTTGGCTAATTATTAATCACTTTTGTTGGAATGTGTAGCTCCACTGAAGGATGTATATGACGCACGACAAGGACGAATGAGTACGCTAGATGAAGCTGCCCGTTTGTTGGTGTATTTGATGTTACGTGGAGTGAGGACTATTGCATTTTGTAAAGTGAGTTGTGTTGGAAGACGATGTTTCTGAGAAGTCTTGGCTTACAAATCGATTTTTTGGCTGGATAGGCCCGTCGACCAGCAGAACTCGTACTGAAGGAAGTTCGATCTACTTTGAATCAGATGTCTCCTGATCTTGTTGACAAGGTCATGGGCTACAGAGCTGGGTATACTCCTCAAGATCGAAGGAGCATTGAACGAGCACTCTTTGGTGGTGAATTGCTGGCAGTGGTGAGAAAGATTTGTCTGTTATGGCAAATATTAGAAGCTGGGGTGATTTGAATACTGATTGCTGTGTTGGATGCAGATTGCTACCAATGCTCTTGAGCTTGGAGTTGATATTGGCTCTCTAGGTATGCAAATTATTATAGCTACAAAACAATTATCAATCATAGTCTGTTTTCTTCCCAGATGCAGTAATTCACATGGGCTTCCCATTCAGTCTTGCTTCATATCGTCAGCAATCAGGACGTGCTGGTCGACGTGAAAAGGACTCGATCTCTATCCTGATAGCCGATGGGGACAACATTATGGATCAATATTACATGACACACCCTGATGAACTGTTTGGAGGAACATACGAAAACGTGTCGATTGATCTTGAAAATCTGCTGATTCTTGAAGCACACGCTCAATGTGCCGCTGCCGAGCTACCAATTGATGTCGATAAAGATGGTTTGTTTCTTGGGAGTCTGCTGGAGGAAGTTTGTGTGAAACATTTGATACAGGATCCTAAGACTAATGTGAGTTATGTGATCGTAACTTTAATTTGTGGAAGTAGCGATGCTTGACACATCCCTTTTTTTGCATTTTGTAGTTGTATTTCGCTCACCCGAAGTATGAAGGATATCCAGCAAAGGACGTTTCCTTGCGCGCGATTGATGAAGCTCGTTGGAGAATTATTGATGTGTCAACTAATGAGGATGTGGAGGATATCGAAGAGGGAAGAGCATACTTCACTCTATACGAAGGTGAATCCTATCTATGTTATTCCTTTTTTTGTCTTCTCACAGCATCCAACCCATCTTAGGATCCATATTCATCCATCAAGGAAATTCCTATTACGTTTTTGAGGTTAATGAAGAGAAGCGATATGTCAAAGGTACTGATTAAGATAATCGGATGAACAACAACCCCACATCTAACGACAGAGCTGCTTTTTGTTAGTGCGACCAACGAATGTGGATTACATTACGACACCGAGGGAATACACAGACATAGATCCGTTGAAGATTATGGAAACTCGATCAATTCCGAATACTACTGATATTCATGTGTATTTTGGAACTGTTCAAGGTAGTATACTTCAGTTGATGGTGCAATCTTTGCGAGAGCTAATTGTTTTTTTTGCCCATTGCCATTCGTGTCGACAAATCATCAGTTTCAACCAAGGTATTCGGATACTTTAAAGTCAACCCAAAGAACTGGCAAATCCTGGAAGCTGTTACAGATCTTGAAAATCCACCTTTTGTTCGAAATGCTGTTGGGTTTTGGACAGATCGTAAGTTGTTGATTACCATTCAAGAGCAAAAAAAAACAGATTTCTAATAGTTGTCAATACTTTCCATAGTTCCATTTGCAACAGTCCAATATCTACACGCCACGAAACATGACGTGAAGGACAGTATTCACGCTGCCAGTCATGCCATCTTATCGCTTGTGCCTGTCTATGTCGTGTCAACAGGTCTTACAAGTGTGAGGACAGATTGTCAGACATCAGAGGCTACGAGGATACGCCCTCCAAGGTATTTCCCGTAGTGCTTGGCGGGTTTGTTTGGGCGTCGTCTAGGGCTTTGTGTAAAGTAACTCACAAGCTTTCTCTCAAAAACAGATTTTTCATATATGAACATAATGGACGAAGTGGAATGGTGGCTAAAGCATTCTCACATGTACATGAATTGCTGGTTAGAGCTAAACAGATTGTTTCAGCTTGCCAGTGTGAGGATGGATGTCCAGCTTGTGAGCTCATTGTGTTGTTGGACGATTCAGATGAATTTTGTAACTGATCTGAAATGGTCGCTTTTTTCGTTAGGTGTCCAACGAAATGGATGCAAGCATGCCAATAAGGCTTTGGATAAACAAGGTGCACTTATTGTTTTAAAGGGATTGCTGGGTGAGATATTGTGATGCATATAACGAGGGTGTTGGGTGTTGCCTGCTAGTGGTTATTTGAAGGCAACTATTTGTATGTATAATCTGAAATAACATAGCGTCATTCAAGACAAGGTGTTCGTGAATTTTGGTGAGATGGCTGTCAAATAGGAGCAAAGAGTCGCATACAAGGGTATTGTAGTGTTTCAAATAGTTTACAATAAAACGTATAGTAGAGCAATATGTACTCCCAAAAAGCCGACGAAGACAACCTATAGCAATGAGAACAAGCAACAGTAGTTCACTTAAATCGTTCTCTAACGAATGCAGTCAGAGACTTGGTTTTCGATGTCTTGCTCTCCTCAAGAGTGAAAATCAGTTGATAGCGAGACAGAGGCATTACATGTATATCATTTTTTGTTTACTTTTCAAATGACAAATGGCGCGATCCACGTTGCAACCAATGAAATTGTTCTGTTTACTCGCCCTCTGACACTCCCACACTCCCAACATTCAAAAAGCACGCAATAGTGATTAACGAGAAGAGGAGACTCTCTTATCCTCTCGTACAAGCTGTATCTATCAACATATAAGTTAGAAGGAGGGAATTTTGGTCGCATTGTACCCTCTTGACTCGAATCTTGCAAGTCTATGCTATTTGTGGACAATCTTGATATCTCAATGAACCAGTGCCTGATGGCGGATCTGCGCTCTCTAGAAGAACCAGATTTGTCATCAGTGTCAAATAATGAATATCGGATGTAGTCGATTCGGAGGGTGCAGTCCTAATAGAAACTGTCATTCCTGTCGCTGCATCAACTCTTATCAGTATCTCTGGATGCCCTGAAGCTCATGACTTCACTACGGGCACGAAAGTGAGTGGATGGAATCAACATCATGGGTATCAAGGGTCAATACTGGCTGTACCTATGATGGCAGTCAATAATCTCGACAATGTGGCTGACTTTCCCATATTCTCCAAACACTCACCTATTTCGGGATTAACCATAAGATTCGAAACCTCTTCTTCGAGTTACTACAGGTATCATGTTGACAGCTAGCTGGCGCCAAGGCAAGCGCTCACGGCAGTGACCAGGGAAGAAGTTGTTTGTGATTTTGAAGCATTTAACAAAACCCCACTTGAACGGTAATGTTTGTTTGTTTCTCCCATTGCCATGCTGTTTGGTAGATACAGCTTCATGGCATACTGTGATTCAGCAGTGTTTGACGTTCGAGTCGAAATACATAAGTAGATGGTACTTTGAAACTCGGAAATTGAACGTTTCCTTTGAATTTGTATTGTGTATCAAAAAGATAGCAATGAATGTACATGGTGCCTGCCATCGCTATGAAATATACAATTCTCCTTTCAAACATCGGTTGTCAAGTTTCAGCCATTGATTGAACGCCTTTGTACGATTATATCTGATACACTACACGCCTAGCACCCTCCTCCTTTGAATACTATTAGCAGACCACACATTTCTCCACTCGTAATATACTGGAAATGAAGGCTTATCGTCGGGCAGCTTTTCCCACTTCAGCATTGCATGTGGAAATGAAAAAGGACAATTCAGAGTAGTCACCCTTACAAACAGCATCAACTTCCTCCTCCCATGATCACTTCACAATGCTGTCTTACACTCCTTGCATCGAAATATATCATGAGGCTGTCCACTCTCTGTCTTCATGGCTACTATTTCACGTCTTCCGTCCAAGAGTCTCACGTGTTTAGTCTCGATGAGAGAATTCAAATCAAAGGAGCCCCCAGTTTGCTTTTGACAGTTCAACAATGGCAACAATGCACAAACATTGGATTTGATTCTAGCCTGTATCGCACCTTCCCACAGAAGCATGACCCGTCATAATGCATCCATGCAACCGAAGCTCAGAGGATGAAATTTAGAGATCCTAGTGTATAAAGCCTTGTCTATAGGAACGATCATGGAATTGTGTGAGTGACGATACATTGATGTTCAGGAGATGTACAACAATAACTACGCATTCTGAGACTCGTACAGACAGTTTCGATGAATATGAAATGCGAACAATTGGTCGAGAAGGAAGACCCACGGAAAATGCGAAATCGGCCAACAATCGTTCACTCCATCCCCATCCAACTTTGGAGTGAAAGACAATTCGAACCTTTAACTAAACCTTTTACAGATGCAGTCACGAGAATACACGCTTTCCTTCGCAAATGGCTCGCTCTACCCTCAACTCCAAATAGCTGACAAAACTTGAACCGATTTTCCTCGAACTTTGACGTTCATCACATAGAAGACAAGAAATCATGAACGCGTTCCGATTCTCAAAAGTGATTTCAGATAGGCTTGCTACCTTCTCTGCTCAAGCTGGAAACAAATCAATGCAAAAGGCCGTATTCTTTGGATCTGGAGCAGCTGTTGCAACAGGTACGGACCAGTTGGATGGTTTGGCGTGAGGATCCTGTATTCCTTCCGCATTCATGTGATGCTTGCTTGATCGTTGTATCGTTTGAACGCCCAGATTGCTGTTGCTGACTTTGAAATCGGTCGCAATCGATCGTCGTGATGGCAGAACTACCGCAACTACTTTCCAAGAACCATGTTCTGACTTCATTATGTTTCATTATTTTCAGGCGCACTGTTTGCAAGCACTCTATTCGCCGATGCACCAAAGTCAGCTGTAGCTTTGGACGGCGAATCTTTTGTAGGCTTCAAGCTTCAAAAAGTGACAACCTTGAATCATAATACCGCAAGATTCAGCTTTGCATTCCCAGCGGGTACCACAGATCTAGGATTACCTACAGCTTCATGTCTTGTCGTGAAATTCGCTCTACCTACAAACGAAGGCGAAAAACCTAAAAATGTCATTCGGCCTTATACACCAATCCACAGCGAGACACCTGGTACCTTTGATTTGCTCGTAAAGAAATATCCAGGTGGTGCTGCTTCGTCTCATATTCACAGTTTGAAGGTTGGCGACACTCTTGCAATGAAGGGTAAGTGTGATTTGCTACGTAATAGCTTCACGAAGATCTCATCGACCACCCTTTCATGAAGGCCCGATTCCCAAGTATATACTGAAGCAGAATGAATTCAAACATATTGGAATGGTTGCTGGTGGAACAGGTCTTACGCCAATGTTAGTTGCTGACAGAAACGTGCAATGTCGCTCAGCATCTGCGCTTCCTGTTTCGTTTCGTAATCTAAAATCAAATCTTCACTTCTTATGTACAGGATGCAAATCATCTCTCACGTATTGGCAGACAAGTCAGAAAAGACCAAACTATCTCTAATCTTTGCCAACCAAACTGAAGAGGACATCCTGCTCAAAGACTGGCTAGATCAACAAGTAAAGGCTCATCCTGGACGTTTCGAAGTCTTCTATACTTTGGACAAGGCTCCAGAAGGATGGAAGTTTGGCAAAGGGTTTGTGACTGAAGATATGTTAAAAAAGTTTATGCCAAAACCTACAGAGGGCAAAGTGTTTATCTGTGGGCCAGATCCTTTCGTCAAATTCTGTAAGTGCTGCTATATGTTTGATGACCACCTCTTGGAAGCTTTGCTCAACGGAACGTCTTCTCGTAGTGTCTGGCGCCAAGGCTCCCGATCGATCGCAAGGACCTATTGGTGGTTTACTAGAAAAGATGGGGTTCAAATCTGAAGATGTATTCAAGTTTTAGAACTAGATAAACTATATTTTTGGAGCAGTTTACAACAATACAACTAGTCACGATCTGGTAAGACTTTTTGAGGATTCATGATCCCGTTTGGATCCATTGCCTTCTTGATATCAAACATCAGATCAACGGAATTCTTCCCAAGTTCTGGTTCCAACCATTTCCGCTTTGTCCACCCGATACCATGTTCTCCGGTACAGCTGCCGCCCAGAGCCAGAGCTTTCTTGATCAACTGGTCATTCAGCCGTTGAGCTTCGACAACTTCATTGGGTTTGTCCTTGTGGAATAGAATCAGGACGTGTATGTTGCCGTCTCCAGCATGTGCAAGCTATGCGTGTTAAGAAGGTGAGATCTGATGCAGTATTAATGACGAGTGGGTCAAGGACGTACTATAGGTCCTGGAAGAAATGACGCCGTGACATCCTTCTTCGTCTCTTCAATAAGGTGAGCCAGCTTTGACAATGGAACACAGACGTCCGTAATCCAGAAGCTGGAATCTGGCTTGAGTAGACGACTTGACCAAACGGCTATCTTTCGTCCTTGCCATATTTCATCCCTACAAAAAAGGCGTATAAGATCGAAAATCACTTGAGCTACAGATCGCACAACTTACTGTTCATCTATTGTCTTTGCAAAGATGAATGATCCTCCATGATGAGCCTTTGCGATCTCACCGACTTTTTTGATATCTGCCTGTACTGCTTCTTTGTTCATGCCAGAGAATTTGAAGTAAAGTGTCGGCTTTTCAGGCAGTTTAAACTCGGTACTGTTGAGGTTGACTGCTTTCATCATGACTTCATCCAATATCTCCATTGCTCCAATCTGTATTCCACTCGACATGACTTCCTGTACTACCTCTCCACAGTCTCGTATACTCTCAAAGTCGCACACTGCGACTGATGTTTCTTTGGGAATCACTGCTAGCTTCAAAGTGATGTTGGTCACTATTCCGAGAGTACCTTCACTGCCTAATGGCAAATAACAATCGATTTAGGAGCCGTCATAAGGGCGAAAGCATGCAGTCTTGTTTGTTTACCAATAAATAGTTGAGTCAAATTATATCCAGCTGACGATTTCCTATAATCAAACCCGAAATCAGATTGACTGTATCTTTTATACCATTATCATCCATTACCTGACCCTTGATCTAGTCTTTACTATCCGCCCATCAGGTAGAACAACCTCCAATGATAAAACCCAATCCCGCATCGTCCCGTATCTTACTGCATTCGTTCCACTGCATCCTGTCCCAACCATCCCTCCAATCTTGGCACCTGGACCTGGGTCTACAGGACAAAAGACTCCATGCGACTCTAAAGTCCTGTTCAAATCCTCCCATGGTACGCCAGGTTCAACTTCACAGTCTAGATCATGCTGGTTTATGGATATTATTTTATCAAAGTGCTGCATGTCGACACAGATTCCGCCTTTTGGCGCAGAGTAGTGTCCTAAAGAATCAAGCCGAGTTCAGAATTGAGATACACGTGTGCGAATCAATGTCAAGTACCTTCAACGCTTGTCGCTCCAGAGTATGGAATGACTGGCAGCCTGGTGGGTGTGTGGAATGAGGTTATAATGTGCAAATGCAGACTGAGGCTTCCAAAAGGTACCTTAGTTCATTTGCTATTTTGAGAATCTGTGACACTTGATCCGTATTTCGTGGATACACGATTACTTGCGGAGATCCAGCTTGATGATGCGAAAGTTCACTGAAACCATGAGCGTAGAGTTCATCAGCATCAAGAGAAATATCTTCTGTATTCAGTATGTCTCTGAATCTCTAAAAATAACGTGTTGATTTAGTGTCTGCGGCAGCGAAGAGTTCAAACTACAGTCAACAAGATTTACGCACGCCAATGGCCTGTCGAAGCTCATTAGGACCACCATAACGTGATATCTGTGACTTCTCAGTTTGTATGGTGTTGCTCCAGTATAGTAAACTTGCTCCACATACTGCAACGGTAGCAGCTGCAGAAATCCATGGTGCCGAACTTGGCCTCCTAGCTCTTCCTGTGAATGTACTAGCAAACCGAGACGGCTGTACAGCTCTGATGATGTTGATGAGTCTCTGATGCGTGCGCATGGTATGATGTGATTGTTCTTGGTCAACTTTACCAAGAATGAAATATTTCCGACGAATTTAGGAGAGCGATCGCTGTGGAGAGACGGTCAGCCAAAGAGAGAAGGAGACCACCACATCCAATATCACATTGATCTATCTATCTGCTCTAATACAATCCGATTGTACTACTAGAACTATCTCAAAGGTGAATAGTGTCTCGAGGCATCAACCCAATTCATGTCGAGCCGAAGAAAGCTAAAACCAACTGCCTTCTCTTTAGAGCAATGGACAAATTCGTCAACAAGGAGTTCTACACAATCGTAGCTGGAGCCTGTTTGCTAGCAGTCAATGCAGGCTTTATAAATGTCGTGACATTAGCAGGCATCTTTTCCGTCACCGTATCCCATCTCACCGGAAACGTATCTCGTATCGCAATCGCCCTATACAATCTCGATCTCACGACTATGGCGCTAGTCATATCCATCATCGTATCCTTCATGTTTGGCTCATTCGTCGCTGGCTTTATGATTGGAGACACCAAATTCCGTCTGGGACGATCCTATGGATATGCTCTGTTAATCGAATGTCTGATGCTCTTCCTAAGCTTTCTCTTCTTGGGACAAGAACTGATTCTGGGTGAATGGTGTGCTGCCTTCGCCTGTGGGTTGCAGAATGCTGTTGGAACGAGCTACTCTGGTGCCGTTATAAGAACTACACACATGACTGGGATTATAACAGATATTGGAAACATTCTTGGTCAGGCTTGTCGAATGGATACTAATGCTGAAGTCTGGAGACTCAAAGTCCATATACCTTTATTGTTCTCGTATCTCGTTGGTGGGATATTTGGTCAACTTGCATACTCGGCACTGAAGGAACACTCGCTACTGATCCCCTGCATATTCACTGGACTGATTGGATCTACATATCTGTGTCTGCCATGGGTCAACGAAGCAGCCAAGATACTAAAGGAAGCTACAATCCATACGCAAGGGCAAATGCCAGCTGTCGAAGTACGAGTAATTGGAGATCCACGTGGTGGTGATAAATTCGCCAAAGTCTCTGGACGGAATGTCGATATCGAGATTAGAGAATTCTTACATGACATTGACTCTGACGACGAGCACGATGAAGCAGACTCCGTATCATTGAAATCTCCAAGGAATCCGCAAATGAATCAAATACAAGATGAAGAGAAAACTCATTCGATCAAGATTAATAGCAATCCGGGAAGTGGCAAGAACTCGGCCAAGAGTTCCAGGAGAACGTCTGTTACCAGAGCTAGCGGTGGAGGCAATGTAGAAATCCTGTATAGTCCCAAACAATAAAGGCATCATAGTTATAAGTTTCAATCTTAAAACATGGCTTTTTTTGTCAGCAACATTGGCGTTTATATCGTAATCTGTAAGACCTTGGTGTTCTACAAGGGTGATTTATATCGTAATCTATAAGACCTTGGTGTTCTACAAGGGTTTGCAAAGGCCAAATCTAATGTTACTATTCACAGCCTGTGTGAAAAATTCTTAAATAACCATATTTGAGACTCGAATGGCGACAACTTCAACGTCACCCCATTCTCCCACAATGACCCTATAAGCGGTCTGTGGGAAGCAAGTATACATTCACCCTTCCACGAATTCGTCGGAGGGACATACGTCCCATCTTCCTCCGACACATTACACACAACCAACAACGCCTCATCATCCAACCTACGCAAATACACCCAAAGCGTCGGATGCTCCAGCGTCAGCACTGTATAATCACCATACGTGATAATCTCGTGCTGTTTACGAAGCTCGATCAAGGCTTTGAAGTGATGAAACACTGAATCTGGATCCGATAGTTGTAATTCAGCATTGATTGTTTGGTATGTGGGGTTCATTTTGAGCCATGGTTTGCCGGTTGTGAAACCTCCGTTGGGTGCTGCCGACCAGTGCATGGGTGTACGTGAATTGTCGCGAGAGAAGAGCTCGATTGCTTTTTTGGCTTTTACGGCATCGTAGTCGGGTCGTTGGAGCAAAACGTGATATCTAATGTGATTTTAGGAAAAAAACATCAGAGACTTGACAGATATTCAAAACAAACTGAAGAATTGACTTGCTGGTTGACTGTGGAAATGTCTTGATAGTCCTCAATGTTGAATTTGTCACCAATGTTGACCATGCCGAGCTCCTCTCCTATTAAAGACAACATTAATAAAGAATCAGTTTTCATACAGATCGCAAAGAACAATTATATGTATGTTTCGCGGATGGTGCAGACACATAGGTTGTGCATACCTTGATACATATAGGCGGTAGCACGATGAGTAAGGAGTGCCGTACCAAAGCATTTCGCTGATGCTGACCGAAGTGCCTCAGTCTTGTCAGATCCAAACCTCGAAGTCGTGCTATAGATAGCATAAACAAACATTAGCCCAAAAAACCAAAGGACGTGAGCCAGAATAGACATACCGCGGTGAATCGTGATTTGAAAAGTAGATCGAATTCCATCCATTGTTAGCGTTCAATTTAGCATCCCAGTTTGCCCAAATTTTTTTGAACTCAACGAAATCGTATGACTTTCCAGGGATCTTGGAGCGGAGAGATACCTAAACTTAAAGTGTCGTTAATGAAACAATGATTGTAGATATCAAAAGATTGAATATTACATGCTGGAAGTGGAAGATCATTTGCAGGTTCTTGTTTGCCGGATTGGTATACTGTGAGGCAGATTCTAGGTACAGCCGTACAATATCTGAGTATCACATAAAGTTTTTTTTGCCAGTCTGACCAAAAGTGAGATCATACCGATCGTTGAATCTGGGCACTCGCCAACAGTCATCTTTACTTCCGGTCTCCATTCAAAGACCTTTTCATACATTTCTCTAAGGTAGTCTGTCACTCGTGGTTTGTCGGTGATGTGAATCCTCGGACTTTGCAGAAACTCTCGACTGTCAGTGATGGGCGCGTTTGGAAATCCGTCCTCTTTGTCAATGTAGTTGATGACGTCCATTCTGAATTTGACGGGAAGAAAATGTGAAATATGATAAATGATGAGAATCAATTAAGAAGGGATTCTAGCCCCATTTTTCCAATTAACTAATACTTACCGAAACCCGTCGACCCCACGATCAAGCCAGAAATTCATAAGCTTGAAGACAGCAGCACGAACTTCCGGATTCTTCCAATTCAAATCAGGTTGTTGTATAGCAAACAGATGCAAATAATATTCTGATGTAGCCGGATGTCTCGTCCAAGCGCTGCCCTGAAAAGCGGCTCTCCAGTTATTTGGGGGTTGATCTCCATTAACTCCAGACCCTTTATGCCAAATATACCAGTCTCGTTTCGGATTTGTCTTTGACGCAGCAGATTCCAGAAACCATTCATGTTGATCTGAGGTATGGTTTACTACCAAGTCCATAAGCACTTTCATACCACTGCTGTGGACTTCTGATAGGAGGGCGTCCATATCATTCATTGTGCCAAAGTCTTTTGAAATGTCCTATATTTGATATGAGAGATTTTCTTTTGAGAATTTGATTCTAACCACAGGGAAACTCCAGAGGAGAACCCGTGGGACAAACTGAGATGTTTCAGAGACAGATATTCTTCGAAAAACGACGTTGAAAAAAGCGTTCCGTACATAGTAATCCGAAATATCATATCCGTTATCGACTTGCGGAGACTTGTAGATTGGCGACAACCATATAACGTCCACTCCAAGATCTTTCAAGTATGGGATCTTTTGGCGAATACCATTGATGTCACCGATACCATCTCCATTGGAATCCTTAAAACTAGTCGAAAATTGATCAGCACAATGAAACTTCGTGATCTTGGTTCTGCGAGCTCTTTGCACCGACAACCCTATGCATGCTTTTTGATCAACCAGCACATTGCCTCCAACCCTCATCAAATCTTAACCGTACGAAGAATCATGACCAAAAATGTAGATTTTTGACGTACCTTCGGGGATAGATCTGGTAGACCACTACGTGAACGGCGCCGTTTTAGTTATTTTGGATAGATATCAAAAGCTTAAATAGCCTACCTGCACTCTTCCACCATGCCTGAGAGATTTTGGAGAGCACCGGAGCACGCATCATGCTTTGTATTTGCCAGAAGAACGTTTCAAACACGACGATCGATATAGTAGTTGTAGGTTGTAAGTTGATGTGATACCCAGGAAGGCAGGTCACACACACACAAAAAGCAGCTGGAATGTGAGGCGGAAACTGATGAAGTCTTATCATAATTACATATTTATACGGTTTATTGGATGCTATCCCGTAGACGTTTATAAAATTTTAACGCCGTTAAAGTCGAAAATTGCTCGAGCGGGGTCAAGTTTAAGAGCTGACGGGGGTTGTTGAAGATTTACGTTTAACGAGGGGGTCCCCCCCCCTTCTCAAAGATTTTCAGCACACAAATGTTTATAACTTTACGAGAACTGAACTGATGTGCTCCAGTTCTGGTGGCTTCCTCCAAAGAAAAGTCAACGAATCGCGCCTAGCAATCAACAATATTAGGTTGTTTGTCCTTGAACACGATTTTGGTACAGCTTAATCTGTCAGATTGCGCTGGAAGAAGGTGACAGACGCGATGGCAGACGACCTTTTAACGCGCAAATCAGGTAAGTATGGCTTTCTTACCCCTTTTCTATTTAAGATTTGACGCTTACAATTCTCTTGTTAACATTATCAATGGGTCATTTCTAGAATGGTGCTAGTATGCTAGCATTACAATGGTCTATAGGCATCACATTTGGCATTTGACGGCCAACATGATGAATCAGCACAGTCATAGATCCTGATTGCAGATGCAATTATAGATTTGAAACTGTTTCTTCAAGCATCAAATCACCAGAATGGAAATGAAGAGACGAACAAGACCAGTCAGATAACTCCATGCCAATGGTTTGCCATCGGATGTTAAACCACCTGCAGCAGCGTTGGATGGCTTTGGTACTGTTGACGAAGCAGCCTACCAGACGACTGTAGGATAGGGTGTGATACATTGGCCAACACTTTGACAATTACATGATGATCCAAGCGCCATTGGCTTCTGTTGGTGCGAAAACAACCAAGAAGTCAGTGCGAAAAACAAGAAAAACACAGAACAATCCAGTGCGTGCTTTACTTGTGGGGCTCTACTATCACCGTTTCTAAATTACAAAACGAAACTCGAATTATGGATGAAGACGAAGCTACATCACTATTACCGTCGACTGTGGATATCAAGATTACAATAATCAACCATTATTTTCATCGTTGTCCTTGTTTTCAAACATAATCATCTTCTTTGTTTTCAATATCATCATCTTTGTTTTCAATATCATCATTTTCATCATTATCATCATCGTCGTTTTTGTTGTTTTCAGAATCATAACCACCATAACTATCGTAGATTTTACTGCCATCAGTTCTGTTTTTATTACTGTTTTTATCGCCATTTTCAACGATGGGTGGTTGTTTTGGGAGAGTCTGAAGCAATTCGCAGACTTCCTTCAAAGTCCGTTCTAACGAAGATATCTTCTTCTCTAGTTTTGCATTGTCCTGGGAGACCTGCTTCTTCAACGTTGCATTGTCCTTGGCGACCAGCTCCTTCAACGTCATATTCTCTTGGGAGACCTGCTCCTTCAAGCTGGAGAGACTAGCCACCACGCTATCAATTGACGAGGTGAAAGATGGCATTCTTTCAATTGGCACCTCGTAATAAATGAATTTAGGGAAGAGCGCCGGATGATTCTTCCATGACGGGAAAACTGTCAAGAGCACTGTTTCCATTTCCACGCAAATGTATGCAATCTCGTCAATCAGCACCGTTGACTCTCCTCGAGATTGTAGTTGGGCCAGGGTATTGTTGAGGACAGCGATGATGACACTAGGATATGCAAACAATAATGATCAAGATTTCTTACAATGACAAAATCAGACTGCGAAAACTCACTTGAAGAGCATCAGAGTCATAATGACTTGATACGTCACATGCAAGAAGACAGCCAGCCAATTGCCGTTATGGCTTTTGAGTTGAGAAAAATCGCCAAACGAGGTATAGAACATTGACCTAATGGTTTTGCTAATTGAGATTTTGCTTCACCTTGCTTCACCATCAAATCAATAACTTACTGTAAAGCATTGCCAAACGTATTGAAAGCATTATCCGACCCATCGACTGTCTCGTTCGTCTGCAACAAGACGTAGAATCCATGGGAATATGCAAAGGCCACAGCAAACAGAAACACCTATGACCAGAAACATTAGTTGAAACTTTTGTGACTCCATGGGCCAATGGTTACGTACTAGGAGAGGCAGTGTTTGGAAAATGAGTTGGAAGGCGGATGATACTATGCTTCCAACAAACGGTAATACTCTCAGATAGGCGACCAGTTTTAAATAATACAGAAGAAGCGCCACTGCCCAGCACTTGACCATGACATCGTCGTAGATGTCTCCTCGTGCGATCTGCGCCACTGCTACTACGAGAGCTGCAAACGTGGCGAGCACGTCCAATTGAGCGAAAACTCGAGCAGGATAGTAAGACCGAAGCCGTGTCTTCAAAATGGCCTGATATAGCAAATTGGGGAGAATGCCAATGACGAGAAAGATATACATGAAGGGTTTGTACGCAGAAGGTGTCTGTTGTATGGTGACCACAAGCGTCAACAGACCCAGCCCATCCAAAAGTAAGCGGAACATGTATAGAAACCAATATCTGTTTCGAATGGCGTGTCAATGAAAGTAGTTTGAGTTAAAACATGAGAAAAAAAATAACATACGTCTTCCAAGAAGCCAGAGTCACTGCCTCATATTCAAAGCGTCCGAGTAGATTTGCTTTCTCTTGAAGGACCAATCCTGTAAAAGTAGACACTGGTGTCAAGAGACGAGATGTATCGTCATACGAGTCCTGGTGCCGTAAAATCCCATGCCATGGCACCACATATCTATTCGACACAATTGGAGGGGTGCTGAAAAAGTTGCTTGTACGCCAGCTTTCTGGGATGATCGAGTTCAATTTTCTTAAAAGACGGACAGACCACGTCTCTTCCACCAGTGTTCCCTCTGTATCGACAATCATTTTGAGAGACATAGATCTCGGATACCGTCTATCAAACGTGCGTTGGGATATTTTGATAGGGACGAGACTATTGACAAAGTTCTCGAGCGTGCCTCGGTAATTGGCAATGTCGTTGGTTTGAGTAGACACAAGATCTGCAAATGTCTCGGTCATGAACTCTAAAGCCATGTGTGCCTAGTTTATGCTGGTCAAAAACGATTACAGACAGTGGCAATGGTTCTACTTACTTGAGGCGCGGTTTTCAGCGTTTTCACAATCATTTCCATTGCAATAGCTATCTCTGCGTCTGCCCCTTTCTTCATCAACATTTTTAACAAATTCTCGGTCTTGACTATCTTTCTCTTGTCAACCATAGCCACGGTCTGCCAGTCTTGAGCTAAACGAAAGCCCGGCATGGTAGCTTTCAGTGCCAGTTCAGTCAGATTGCGATATTGGTTGAAATCGAATTTGGAAAGACCCACCACACTCGGCATGGAAATTGTACACAGACAATGACAATATGTCAAAAATAGGCCTCATCTCTTCCAAACTCATAATATCCATGCACCATACTAAGAAAGACTTGCCATCCCGACAATCAGACAAGATTTGCTAGTAGGAAGCTCAGCAATCTTGAATCGACTATTTCCCAACAAACCAACTTACTGGTGTCATTTGAATATCCCGCAAAATAAGATCGACGACTTGCATCTTCAAATCTTGGACACGGCTATCAGATTGCCACGATGCTACTTTCGATGCTTTGTCACCGTCCTCCTTTAAAAATTTAAGGACAGCAAGATGCTTCCAAAATAATAGATTCGGATCCCTAATGTCGCTAACCGTGATCCGGTAATAATAACAATAACCTAGACAGACAAATTGGCAGTTAAGTCATCATGAGCGTGGCGTATAGCTTGATAAAGCTCGTACATTGACCATTATGATCTTGGCAAACGTTGGAAATTCGCATAGTGAACTCGTATAAGAAACATTTGGATGACAGTAGTGTGGTCGGATAGTCCTTGCCACTGGCAAAAGCCACGTGCCGTAGCCTCAATGGGCTGTCCGCTTTGTTCTCGTCCAAGGGCTCAATCACCTAAAGTATGCTTACAGTTAGAAGGGTGATCTTGGGGCCAGTAAAAGATCACATACATAAATCAGGTGCTGATCAACCACCACGAGAAATTTCGGAAATTTTCTTGAAAATGCAAGCACATTCGATAGTGCTTTCCAAACCAAAGAACGTTTCGACCTTCTAAAATCCCAGATGATGTTCTCTGTAGCGACCCAGCAGTCAGTGGCTTCCGACTCGTCAAACTCGCCCCAGGTCCGGGATGATTCAAACAAATCCACGTTGGACTCAGATGGCCCCCATACATCATAGGCGTATAACGTCCCTTCTGGAACGTCCACCATTTCGAGCCATTCTTTAGACATCTCATTCGTCCAAGTCTTATTTTCTACTATAACGGCGATATGCTGTCCGTTTGCTCGATGCTCTGCCTCGCCGGACTGGATAACGACTGCTAACATATATCTTGATTTGCTCAAGCGTCTAATATCTAAAATCTCCTTGACATATTTATGATACGGTATACGGAGAAACTCTTCTAGCTTGTCGTTGAAGGTCATATCTAGTAAATAAAAAATCCAACTTGAGTGCTCTTCATCTTTGGCAATCAAACATTTCTGGTCAGCGCTGGTCCCACATAATGGGTAAGGGATATCAAAGCTATCGAGCGTCTGTATGGGATCATTATTGGTAAGTCCATCAAAGTCATAGCTGCTTTTTGTTGTGGGCGATATCCTATACAACTTCCCAGACATGTCTAATATATATTGCTCAATTGCATACATCCATATGAGCTGCTTTGGTTGAAAGGCACAAGTCCTGATGAGTTCGTCATCATCTTTGGTAAATATGTTTGATATAGTATTGGTGCCGGTCCACACTTTCCATTCGTGCTCTCCGACGACAACCGTGTCGTTTCTAAAGCCAATTTTCTCGACTTTTCTCCCTCTTTTCTCAGTCATCGGAGAAAGAGGGAGAGTATATGTAGCAAGAGCTTCACGAGCGTCAATGCTAAACAGAGTAGCCAAGATACCAGGGTCGGCTGGATTTGCCCCATGCTCAACGATCAGGTAGGAACCATCTAGTGCTTCAAACTTGGTAGTTGAAGCTATTTCATGATCAAATGTGTATATAGTGTCTGACCGCCGACCAATTTTCAGGGAAGGATTGAGCTTGTCCGAGGTTGGGTCGGTGGTGTTGATGTCAACGAGCACTGGGCCTTTAGTGTCCAAGACGACTGGAATGAACGATTAGTAGGCTTTCGACCTGATGAAACTGAACTTTGAAGCTTCACCAAACTTGTCGTCCTTTAGCTTCTGGCCGTCCATCAATTTCTATGGCAGCCAGCCACCAAAATGACCCAACTTTCTCCAGCGCCTACTGAACTTTGGCTTCTTAGACGAATGACGGACCGTTGGTAGATTCGTTTTTGCTACTTTCGCTAATGAGTGTCCTCTGGTGTTGAATAGATATGTTGTCTCTTGTCGAAAAAAGAATGTATTACATTAAATATGTCAAGACAGAACCGCCAATGAATACTTTTAATTCTCTGTGACTCTGTGAATACTTTTTAACATCTTTGCGTAATAATACCTTTTGAGTGAAGTTCAAGTTCTGTCACATTTTCACATGCCTGCGCACTCATAAGCTAGACGCGTCCAGGCTGTCTGTTTTGGATCGACAGAACAGCCACGAATTGTTCGATGATTTCGCTATATCGATGCAATTCCTCTTCGGTTATCAAATTCAACTTCTGCAGGGTCGCCATATTTTCTCCTTTGACATGTGGGAATTGTGATGAAGTAGCGTTTGTGATACATCAGTGTACTTGCGAAGCGGACAACATTTTAACAGTATTCCTGTAAATTTTTGATTTATTGGATCGGTTAAAATAGTCGTCAATTATATATATGTGGATGTCGGTCCCAAGACGTTACATCCACAGGAAGACATTCGCCCTCTCCAGTATCATCACATAGCTGCCACAGCCTAAACGCAGTTGCAGAGTTTAACTGTACAAGAATTTTTTGTGAGAACTCCACAAACAAATGGAATGAAGCCCAAAAACTCCCTAACCACGTTCCAACACTTACAAACAACAGAGACCGACTGCAGTTAGAGTCTTCTAGCACTACAGGTAGAGTCCACAGAGTCTTTGACACCCCTTTTGATGTCAGTGACTCCGAACAACAATAGAGGACTCGCCTAGGTAAACGAGCCAAACCAGGTCATGTTATTGTGACCCGCTCCACGTCCTTCAGAATATAACATCAAAGGTGAAAGACCTTGTTTGATTAACTGTTGCATCGTGAGAAAGCCTGGAAACGAGTGAATGAGCAGAAGAAGCAGTACTTCCATCTCTCGTCCTCAACAGTCCAAGGTCGCCATTCAAGCTTTTTCCCTCCCAGAAGCGCCCTTCTTTCTGTGTCTACGTCCTCAATGTCAGTGACTCTGAACTACAGCGAAGGACTCACATAGATATGTGAGCAACACCATGCCATTTTATTGAGACCTGCTCCACCTAATCCATAATATGGCATCTGACTTGCAGATTTCAAAAGCAAGAGACATCGTTTGCAGTAACTGTTGATTCTTGTGGATAGCCAGAAACAGGTGAAAGAGCAGAACAGGCACTGCCGAAATCATCCAGACCCCCTCTTGATTTCAGAGACTGTGAACTCGGACGGAGGACTCGACGAGAGGGAACGAGCCAACAAAATGTAATGACGCCCGCCTCGTCCTCATCCAGAATATGGCATCCGACTCTAACCGAAGGCACCGACACTGTTTGGCATGGGATCGCTGATTCGTGTAGTATTCGTGCAAGTACACTGAAAGGGAACGAGCAGGACTCGCGCCACATATCCTCAACGTCCAGTGCTTCCCAGGCCAGCATCAAAGTCTAATCCCTCCCCTGCTGTGTGATAAGACGTAAAATTATATGTTAGGAATGTGAAGTTTTGATTAAAAAACAACGATTTGGGCAAGTTGAATCGAAAAGTCCAGCATCATCAAGCGTCCCTCGCTGCCAAGTCCGTTCCCTGTCTTTCTTATGACTATAACCACAACGCAAAACGTTTCGAGCACGAAAACTGCACTTTTAAACAAGGCAAGCGAGACTAACGGCAAGAGGAAACGTGTCCGAATTTTGCGATTCGCGATCCTTTGATAAAATTCCTTTATAAGCTTCAATTACAAAACCAAATGAACAAATCCCTTCTCGCATTGTTTTAGAAACAAAATAGCATGTCCTTCAATAATATCTAGCGCCACCCCACTGCCCACCAGCAGAAGGAGGTACTTGAGATTGATGATGTTGCTGTAATTGCGGTGTTTGCTGAGGATTTTGTTGTTGTTGAGCAAACATCTGTTGTTGTTGCTGTTGCTGTTGAGGTGTGAGATTGCTGCCTGCTACATTCCATGATGGCGTTGGATTCGGATATGATGAGAAGCCTATATTAGAGATGGTTCGAGCCGGTGCGTTCGGTTGATTCGGTGATAGAGTCGATGAAGCTGATGTAGCTCCTGGCGATATTTGAGCAGTGGATACAGCTAGACCTCCAGCAGATTCTAATGGTTGGAATTCAAGTTTAATACACAAGAAGAAAGAAGCCCAAACCGCCATGTCAATCAACTCGAAGGACAAACCCACCACGCCAAAGTCCAGAGACTCCCTGCGATCCATCCCATAGAGCTCTACCACGAGCATCAAATCCAGATGACGTTATAGAAGAACTACTAGCTGGTACCAATCCAGCGGCTGCACTAGTCGGTTGATTCCCTCTTACAAAGATATCTCCTCCTAATGCACTACTACCGCCAACAAAGCCGATATCATCATCGTCGGGCACCCTAAACTGCCATGTAGCTGGCGGTGTCTCCATACCAACAGAATCTGTAGGTGATTGTCCTCCTCCTGTACCAAATGACATTACAGAATTGGACCTTTGAGCACCTATAGGTGCTGGCCGTTGTACTGCTTTATGTCCAACTACTGAGCCTATCGGTGCTGCTGATCCTATAGATGCTATGGGAGTCGAGGCTGTAGTGGGTATTATTACGGGTTGACCAAAAGCATTTGGTTTACTACCGATAGGTGGCGGATTCGACTTGCCAAATCCAGTTTGAGCGGATGAATCTGAACCAACAGGAGGTGCCCATAATGAACTCATACGACTACCACCAAAGAGCTGTTGTCCTCCTATACCTGGTGATGGTACCCGATCAATAGCATCAGATAATGGCGGTGTTCCAGTCTTTGCTACATTATCATTCAATGTACCTGAATCACCATTTATAGACATTGGTTGAGGATGCAGTATCTCCAGAGCCGATGACAATTGTGGCGAATTATGTGCGATAATGGGAGATTGAGGTGCAGCTGCAGCCCCACGTCCTAACCCTCCAGTAAATGGCGGTGGTATCATTCCACTTGCTAAATGCGGAGGAGGTCGTACACCTGGCGGTAAAGGTATAGGTCTGTGTTGTTGCTGTTGCTGGTTGTGTGATGGTGGTGATATCGATGGTTGAGGACTGCTAGACGGTGGAGTCGTATGCGGTTGGGGTGATGCTGGTCTGGGCATTATGCCTCGTCCAACACCTCCTACTGGACCCGGTCGACCTGCAGGAAATGCAATTGCTCTGCCACGACCTCTTCCAATGGGTTGTTGCTGCTGCTGCTGCTGTAGAGGACGAGCAGCAATTGGTTGTATCGGCATTCCGGGAGGTGGTGAGTTATTATATCCTATGCCAGGTGGAGGAGTTCGGCTAGCAGACGACGTAGTGCTACGATTATATTGTTGTTGAGTCGAGACAGCAGATTGGGGTATACGAGCACTAACAGATGAAGCAGCAGATGAGTGAGCAACAGCAGCCGCCTTGGCCAATCTAGCTCTTTCCTCTGCATCTCGTCTATCGTGTTCACGTCGTTCGGCTTCTTCACGAAGCCTTTGACGTTCGTCCTCCAATCGTCGCTGTTCTATAGCAACACGTTCACGTTCATCACGTTCTCGTTGCTCTTGTTCTCGACGTTCTCGTTCCACCTTTTCTCGTTCTTCCTTTTCCTTCCTACGTTTATCTTCTTCTTCACGACGTCTACGTTTCTCTTCTTCTTTACGAGCAGCTGCAGCAGCTTGTTTTTGACGCTCAGATTCTTCCTTCTTGAGACGTTCTTCTTCTCGTTTCTGACGTTCGGCTTCTCGTTTTAGACGTTCAGCTTCAGCAGCACGCTCACGGTCTAGGCGAACCTTTTCTTCTTCGGCTGCCTTTTCTCGGTCACGTTGCAGCTTTTCTTCATCCTTTTGTTGCTTTTGAGCCCTTTAGTAAAATCAAATTAGTACCATCAAACTATCGGTATGGAAATTTCAAGTCTGATTTACTTTTTGAGTTGCTTCTTCTTCTCTTTGTTCTTTTGCTTGGCTTCAGCTTGAGCTTCCTTTTGGCGCTCTTCTTCTTCGAGCTCTTCCAGGAACCTTTGCTGCCTTTCTTGAGCGACCTAGAGATTCAAATGATGTGTAAATAAGCACCGATGCCCTATTTTTGCACCCGATACAAGAAAAATGTATCCACCTTCTCTCTGTAAGCTTGAAGCACTCTCTGCTCAAACATCTTGGCTGCAAATATTTGAAACATACGACGACCTTCCTCCATACGTTGTTCTTCCGTCATGGTATCCTAAAAAATAGTGTGAGAAGGCTAACAGGCAAAAAAAGACATAACAGTGCAGTCCAAAGAGCCAACATACCTCTTCATCGTCGTCGTCATATTCATCATCTTCCTCATAACTATCGTCACCTCCATCACCACTACCATTTCCCTGTTGGCCACCACCATTGGATATCTCATCTTCTTCCAATCGTTTCATTTTACGTTCGGCTAGTTGTTCCATTAATTCTAGGAATTTACGACCATCATTTTTCAGAAAGTCGTCAGCTACAGTCAAGATATTGCCATCTATTATATTATATAATCGGAGGGAAATCAAAATAAGAGCGAATTTCGTCAGTAACGGGAGCAAACAAACGCCTGCGTAATATACCACATACCCTTGACGGTCAATGAATTCCCAAATTCGAATATACCACTACTAGAACCAGATTCGCCTGATTCATCGTCGTCGTCATCGTCTCCATCGTCATCATCGTCGTCCTCATCATCCACATCTTCGTCATCGTCTTCCTCATCGTCGTCCTCTTCCTCTTCACTCTCAGCATAACTATCTCTAGAAGCTGATCCCGACCTTGAGTGATGTCGTGACGAGTGATGGTGGTGGTGATGATGGTGGTTGTGATTGTGTTGATGAGTGTGTGCATGTGGATGGGGTATAGCTAACAGATCTAAATTGATTACAGTTGATTAGAACTGATTGGGTTGATAAATAGTAGCTTTTTTGACCTTCCCCAAACTTATACCTTTTCGACCTGAGCTTCTGGCCTGATCATGAGTAAAGTTCTCCAACTCTTCATAATAGGCATCATATAATATTTCTAATTCCTCTTCGATGACCGTTCTAAATAAAAATAGCGCAAATGAGTCAACTTTTCCAACCAAGCAACAGCCGAAAAAGGCGAGGGAATTAATGCCGTAATAACAGAATGCAGGCGAACGCACCGCTTTCTACCACAAACGGAGCAACTACAAGTCTGTTTCTGCTGTTCCTTCATCTTTTTCAAAACAGCTTCCTTTTCCAATTTAACCAAAGCTCGTCGTTCATCCTCTGTCAATTCCAGCCAGAATTCTCTAATGCGTAGCTTTTCTTCGGCATCAGACTTGTACCATATATCGGATGGTTTAGAAGCGCTACTGGCATGTTGATGATTAGGAGTATAATGCGGTGATGCGTTGCGGTTTGCTACTAGAGACCGATCACCTCTTGTGGTGGCAGGATGTGAATTCATGGTAGTAAGAGCATTGGGATGTTTCTTTACTGATTTTTTACTCTTCTTCTTCTTTTTAGTAGTGCTGTGATGTTCACCACCGTCTTCAGAGTCAGCTAGAGAGCCTGGAGCCCCACCCGATGAGGTGCCTCTATGATTCGAGGAAGATGGGGAATGGCGACGGGTATTATGATGGGTAGTTGTTGCTGTTGCAGGGTTATTTGTTGCATGTCCTCCTCCATGGCCATGACTCTCTCCGTGGCCCGTTCGCTGTACAGGTATGAGTGGTTTATGACCGGTGGCTTTTATAGCTGGAGGCAATCGTTCCATATTCACATCATCTTCTTCCGTGTCGCTGTTCCGACTTTGAGGTCGTTGATGTTGATTTTTGATGTTTGTGGTCGAAGTCATTTTCTGATTATGATTGATATGTGACTCGAGACGTCCAATGACTTTGCTACCTGATACGATGCTATGGCTCGACGTATTACGACTGGTTTTACTATCGAGGCTTGCACTAAGCATCGTTCTTCCCCATCCTCGAAAAAAGAAGACTTGGTTGTTGGCTGTAGTTTACTAAGAGAGACAGAGAGAGTTTAAGACGGTACCTATAATAGAGTTCGTTCTATCTCTTTTTGGCTAGTTGCCTTACAGTCGATATAGATGTCGTGTTTTTCTGGCAAGCAAAATCGAGTCAATCAAAGTGCTAGGAGTTCGGACCTAAACAAGAACGAAGTTAGGCCAACTGAAGTGTCGCGCTCGCAGTTATTTCAATTATTTTACTATTATGAACGTACTGTGCACCTCTCAGAACGATTCGATTTCTTTGTCTCGTTGAGAAACTGATCAGGCATCCGTTTGAAACTTCCAATTGTCTACTTAGTTCTATGGTTGTAAATTATAAACACTTCTAAATTCTAATATATTCCTCATTTCCTAACCCTCCTTCAGAATGGTGAGCTCCAAAGTTTGTGCTTGCCCATCTAAAAATCACGCGAAGCCAACCGATTCAGAGCTTCCCCATTCTTATGCGTGTCGTAGCGCTGCAGCACATTCAAAGTTTTGGCCTCCTTCGTCGTCTCGTCCCGGTCCAGCTCATGCGATATTGCGTTGCAATACAGAGCAAAGCCTGCGAAAACGTGCCAAATCAGCTTGGGCTTGACCGTCCCGGTACACAATCTTCATGGTAACTTACGCCATCGGGTGCATAAATGTTTGCTTTGAGCTGAGCTCGCCCATTGTCCATCATCTCAGTCATTGAATATCTGTTGAGAAGTTCGAAGTAAGTTGAATGAAGGGCGATTCTGAATGAAGAGCCAACATATGTCGGTAAAATCAGAGTTCATGTATTGAATACTAGACTTTGCCACTTACTTGACATACGGTAGACGATCTCTTAGCGGATTGAAAAAATTCATCGTCAATGACATTGTTCCAGACCCAGATGTGCTCCTTTGTCCCATCATAACCGTTCCGCTACTCACAAAAACCAAAAGATCTGACAACCATGGCAGGCACAGATAATCTACTTCTCTATCTTTGAATTCATAGTATGCGGCCGGCGTGATATTCTCAAGCAACACAAGAGGATTACCCTCATGTATCTTGCCACTCCTTATACTCGCTTCCAGCTCACTAAATTTCTCAAGCATTTCGGGCCCGTGATACCAAGCCCCATACTCAAACATCTTTAGTGGTGACGCGCCATGTTTACTATGTCCTCGTCGAATACATTCGTCCTTTGGTGGCAAGGGGGGACAGCCTTCCATATCGGTATTGAGCGAGTGTGGTAGTGTCTTTGCCACCAGATCTGAAAAGATAATTTGGGCCATCCATATAATTGACCCGTCACTCTCAGCTACTGCCTTTTGTGCTGTGTGGGCCATGTTCCTTCCAGCTTTAATGATCTCAACAGTTATAACAATAGGGTGCCCAGCATGTGAAGGTCGTATGAACTGCATCTGTTGATTGATAGTTGAAAGAGTTAGATATACATGCGTAACGGATCGCCAGACTGCAAAGAATGGTATCCGAGGGGAAAGAATGCACTGCGCTCCCAAACTTCTTGCTTAAGGTTGGCCGGGCCTTACGTTCATGGTTGTTGGATCAGGATATTGCTCGCCATACCGAACGTTGAGTTCAGTAATGGCAGCCTTTAGAGCAAGAGTTGCAGAGCATCCTCCGAACGTAACTAATGCGGAAAAGCGTTGTTAGGTCAGTGTGTTGATCGTTGTATTTTTGCGATGATGTAAATGTGCTGATCCTTGATCCTTTCGTCGAAAACACATACTAACGGGATTCAAAGTCGTCTTTAAGGGCACATGTCTATAAGACGACTGTCCGATAGGATCCAGTATTATAGCTTCGTCAATGTTTCCAACCGAGGTGTCTTCAGACAATCTTGGGTTCTCCAGAAAGGATTCCACTTCGGATGAAGCCTTTTGAGCCATATCTAAAGACTTGGCGCTATATGAAATAGTCAAGTTGCCGCTAACAGTCAAAGCTCTGATAGATGGTCCTTATCAAATGATGTCTTGAAATGGGGAATCAGTTTTGCACGTTCTGTTTGTCGCAAAGTTTAAAAGTAACGATGGGAACGTACCTTAGATGGAGTCCAGAGATGATTAAAGGTGTCTTCAGTCGCCAGAAACGCGTCCAAGCTACTGTAGGCAGAGTTATCGTTGATTCTTCGACAACAACCAACAACCTCAAAGAAGCACACAAACAAGCTCTCCAAATGACGGAAGTAGAGCCATTACCGAGTACACATAAGCTGTTATTACAGGCTTGCATGTCTCGAAAGTACCTTACTTCTGAAAAGGCACAGGAATTGTGTGCGCAAGCTTTTGAGGTCTTCGAAGGTGAGTGACTGGCGTGTTGACACAAATGTTCATACTTAGCTTTGAGACTTCATTTTGTCTGATTTAATCGTATCTCTACTAGAGGCATACAACGACAATGATTTCAATCAGATCGTGGGCACCATCAATATAGCATTGGGATCAGTTGACATGAAGATTGAACGTGCTCATGATCCTGCTACAGGAGACTTGCATTATGCTGTGGTAGGCATATGGAACAAGTTCTGTTCAACTCTGGACTTATGGAATCACTTTGATTAGATCAATACGAAAGAAGATGAGCCTACTCGAACTGCAACAGAATATTCCCCTTCAGAAATCGCCTACTTCAAACGTCTGGTAATTTGATTATATAACGTTCAATGTTCACCGCATATGTGAATCTCACATGTTCTGGTTCTTGAATAGGTGTATCTGATTGTAAACTCACCAGACGAGTCGTTTGAAGTCAATAATATGCTTACGATGAATGAAGGTCCAAAGCAAAAGCCTCCGATGTCCCTAAAGTCAACTGAGACATTATGTAAACGTTTCGTTGATGAAGGCTGGCTGATTGACAAGTACGTAACGCCGCATCTTTGTCACAGGCCAATCATCAGTTTAACTCCATCTTTATAGTGGCGAGAAAGAGTACGCTTTGGGACTTCGTGCAGCCATGGAATTATCTCTATATTTAAAGCAAACATACCCAAACCGTATCAAGGAGTGCCCAGCTTGCTCAGAGTTGCTTCTACACAATGTAAGCTCTTGTTATGCTTGGCCCGACACGCACTGGTGTCTGGAACACGATCATGACCCTCATGCAATCATGTTCTAATAGGTGGTATGGTGCGCCACGCCAGAGTGCGAATATGCTGCTCATCAACACTGTGAACAATCCTATATGACACGAGTACAACGTAAAGCATGCCCAACATGTAAAAATCCTTGGGATCCGCAACGGCCCGGTAAGTTCTAAGCATCGCCCGTCTTTCTCAACTCTCTTCCGTTCAAGTGAAAGAACTGCAGACAGTTCTTTGATTTGAATTTGGTATTGAAGCTTATGTGGTCGCTTACACTCTTTTTTTGAACTTTCAAGACGCCAAAGAGAGTCGTAGTCGCTTTGAAAAGGACGAAGAAGAAGAACCAGAAGAGGAAGAACAAGGAGGAGATCGTGAAAATGGTGAAGGATCAGGGGAAGGAACTCCTGCTCCAACCGGCCGTGGTCGCGACAGTCGTAGTAGTAGCAGTAGAGCAGGCGGCCCGAGCTCATCACGTAGAAGGTCACGTCGTCCCACAACTGATGATAATAATGATGATGACGATGAGCAAAAGCAGGACGATAATGAGGAAGACGATATTGAAGGGTTGAAGAAAGTGCCTGAGGAGGACGAGGACGAGGAGGACGATGCAGACAAGTTTGTTGTTGAATCACGCAAAAAGAGTAGCAGTGGTAGAACTGCCAAACGGAAACATTCACCAGAAGATGAACGTGATGATGATGTACCAGATCGTCGTCGTTCTAAGAATAAGAATTCCAGGAGATGAAAATTATCTGCATTTTCAAATATTTCATGATTGTACAGAATACAAATGGCGGTTAGCTGCTTGTAGCCGGAGACAACGCGTTCCTGAGTTTCAGTGCCTTCAGTGCTTCAGTGCCACAACAAACGCTTTAATCCTCCATTTTCATTCATCCAAGCCGGCACAGTTCGTGAGAGGCACTCCTTTTCACATTTTTACTTGACCAACTTACAACTTACACTTCGAAAACAAACTATATGGGGCAGAGGGGAGGGAGCAGACTTTGAAGCAGGCCTGGGACGCACTGGAAGTTGAAGATATGTGGTGCGAGCTCAGCTCGTGTTCCTTTCGGCGTAGCTGCCCGATCACTTGCCAGTGTCCGTTCCTGTGACAAAGTCGGATGCCATATTTTTGGATGCCATGGCGGGTCTTTACGACCTGAAAGAAACCTCCTCGGCCGTTATGACTGATAGACCTCCATGTCTCTCCAGAGTCCCTGACATCAGTGGTGTTCAAGGCGAAATGCTGGACTGGTAGTAATGGAGGGAGAGGCAATGGAGAGACTAGGATAAGAAGGTGAGCCGGCCAGTTATATTCAATCTTCAATTGACGCCCGAGGTTTGATTTTTCGACATGTCCACTCACCCGTTCTTTTTAAGGTTGGCAGTTGGTTGTTTGAAACTCTGTTGCGTCAGGCTATGGATTTGGACTGCCTATTGCACCAAATACTTTGCCGAATGGACTGGACTTTTATATGTTTGCTGGCTACGCTCGTTTAGTGCTTACAGGTGCGTGGCACCACAATATTCAAACCTAGTTGTCGGATTGCTACTTTTAAATAGTAACACCGGCAACTGTCCTCTGTTGTTATTCTCATATTTGCTTTATACATATACGTCTTCGAATGCTCTAAAAACTCTGTGTTTTTAGTGATGCCTTGATTTCACAGAAAGCCGATTGCGTAGAGCAAAATCCTCGAGCCGTTCCATCATTCTTTTGACACACGACACGGTGATATACAACAATCGCCCTTGCCTTCGTTCTCTTTCCACTTTCGGAATGTTGTCCGCCAGTGCCTCTCTGTGGTTTCAACGCCACGCCTGTTTCCTTCCAAGTTCCAAAAAGCAATTAGACAACTAGAAAGCAATGGTTCCACCCAGAGCAGCTGCTCGTCTGTATCGCTTTGGGATGATGAAATTACCTTAAAGAAGCTCTCCCCTCAAAGGTTCGACACTGCGATCACGCACTAGCTACTCCCAAATGTAACAAAAGATGCAGTAGTTGCTGCTGCCAAGCTCTGTATCCGAGATCTCAACATCACTAGTTTGAAAACTCTTACTGAGGAGAAGCGATATTTTTACAATTTGCTACAGGACCTGGTACGTAGCTCTGGGAACTTGCAAAGTGAACCTGCCTTGACTGGTAAATGGAGTAAATGCACAGAAACAACAGAACACTCATATACTTGTAGAATAACACTTGAATACTTTGTAACCAGTAAGAGATCTCGGCTTGTATAGAATACTCAAACCACAGCGCCAGGGAAAGCGTGATTGTTCACTTCCACTCTTTGATCTTGCAATACTTGATTCGCACTCAGCGACTTGACAAACAATCAAACATTTGCTTAAAAGTGTCGTTGATTTGTAGAGGGAGAAGAGCGCATGCAGTAACCTGAATGTTGCCAATTCCACCTTCCGTGTCGCCTCTTGTTTATTTGACACTCGCTGTTTTTTCGCAATGAGGGTCTTTCAGGCAGAGACGGGACGAGCAATCCAACTAGCCACTCCTATCGACTCGTAAGTGCTAGTTATACATCTCGTCCTATCAAATCAGTCTCTCATCGGAATGGCAATTCAACACCACACACAAAATCAACATTAAATCACGACATATTTCTAGATTGGATGCATTCAAACATGAAATACACGCCGTCACTGGAATCTCACCAAACGCTCAAATCATCCTGACTCTGGCCGGAGCTCAACTCAAACCAGATACGGCTCCGGCTGTATTTGCTGCTAATGCTTCAAATCGTGTACGTGTTTGGTCAATGCATGCTCTTGTTTGGACTACTCTGTCTTGTTACAACATGACTATTATCGCATATCGATATCATTATTGTGCACTCCTGCAATGCCAACCCTCTCTCCTCAAAAGCAGGAAGATACAGTCTTGTTTGTCTTTAATCGCCAATTGCTGGATCCGAGATCGTCTTGGACCTTTCAACGTTCTTCATTGACTCTCGAAAGCCCTGTTAATGTCGAAGGTATTCTGCTGCACAGATTCCGTGTTGATGTGGAAGCAACGCCATTCCGAGTAGTCACATCCAAACACTGTCTGACCCCCCATTTCTCCACCTCAAGCTGTGACTTGGTTACCACTTCCAGCAATGTCGCCCTCCGTCTCCCTAGCACAGATATCTGATGATTTCACCTCTCTCTTTCGGGCCCACACTTCTCTTGCTGAGGTAGAGTTCGAGACTCAAAGAACAAAATTCGCTAGTTATACGGGACGCCATGCAGTGCTCATATCTCTGTATTATAGGCTCTGTGGAATGCCTCACACTCACATGCTCAGATATGTGAAGTGCTGATGGAAGGTACGTTTTGCATTTTAATTCAGCCTCCGTCTCCGAGAATGCGAGACCGACCGTCTGACACCCGACTAATTTCCACAGAGCAACATGTGCAGGCGGAGGCTTTAGGTGTTGCACTGACGAATCTGCAAGGTCACAACAGGTCACTATTGCAGTCCATAAGACGTAATTTCTCTTTACCAAATTCGTCCTTTTCTGACGCAACCTCTCCTTACATTCATTAGAGTATTGAGTGAGGTCTTTGATTTATTCAACTCGCATGCACATCGAGAATTATCAAAGCATTCTAATCTGCTGCAAAGGTTTGTAGAACAAAATAAATTGTGCACAACTTACCGTGATTAACACGATCCATATCACTAGTTTTGAGACAGATTTACTGGCATTGCAAAAAATACCGATACATCCTTCAATCAGTAATGATCACAAGACATTGGCCGATTACGTGCCTCATGACAAATTACGTGTATGGGCTGAGAATTGCAGGACTGCTCATGGTAGGTTATACTTTTTGTCAAAATGCTGCTTTGTTTTGCTTTTCGTGTGATTTTACTCAGAGCAAAAAAGAAAATAACTGACGTGAGTCATCCAAGATTCGCTGCTGAAGAAGACTGCTAGTCTCAGTGAGACTATGAGTAGTATCAGAGCTGGTACAGAGTCTGAAATGCGGCAGCCGATGGATGCAGAGTGAGACCTCTTCTTTTGAATGCAGAACGTCTTGTTGATCTGGGATGTTGACTCCTGTCTGCACAACAGTTTCCCGAAGCTGGAGTCGCTGCTAGCTAGTGTGCGAGAACTAATGCCGAAAATGGATCAGAGGAGGCAGATCTTTGAGAGAGGTGAGACCGTTGTTCATTGAGATCTGTGTTTTTTTCTCGCTGACGCAGACGCTCTCTGGCAATAGATTTGGCAAGGGTAGAGGGTATATTGCGGCAGACAGGAAAAGCCGGATCAATACAGCAGGCTAGCGACAAGTTGTTGGCATTGGAGCATTTAGCCAATATTCATCGTGACGAGTATATACCGGAAATGGTCAAGGCTGAGAGATATATTCGTGACACGGTAACATACTTTCGAGATTCAAAGGTAATGGATCTAGCATGCCCGTGCGGTTTTTTGCAATAGCGCTTTCACTGTTACAGTTTTTCCCTGGTTCTTACATGCCCTCCAACCCGTCATGCAAACGTCCATATATACCTAAACCTCTTCGTTTTCATTAGACCCATGTATCTACACAGATGATATCACGCCTCCAATCAATCTCATCCCTACAATCATCTATTGCATCAGCCAGCCCACTGCTAAACACCCTCAACAGCAACGTATCAGCACAATCAACCGCATTTGCCCAACTCCTCCACGTGCATCGCATGCCATCAGCATGGGGTGCCACTCTCGTAGAAATAGTCCGTCGACGAGAATATGCCAAAGTGTTTCTATCACGAGCTAAAGAGATGGCTGAAATATTGTCCAAGTTTCGAGCACAAGAAGAGAGGAGACGAGAGACATTTAAAGCTGAGATTGGGGCTTATTTGCCTGCTGGTTTGATTCGAGGGTTGGATGATAAGCCACCGTATTGTGAGATATCGGTTTCGGGGACTAAAGATGGGTTGCCATTGCTTGCCAAGGAAGACATATTAGGTACGGTTCTGGTTCAATTTAATGATTTGTGCTGTGATTTTGAATTTTGCAATCATTGTCCAGCTCGCTTAAACCTTTTTTAATCCTGTTGACTAAACCAAATAATTCACGTCTCACAGACTTTGAGAAACTGGTATCTTCTATCCGGTCTTCCATCATGGAGCCCTCTGGTCCATCTGGTTCAACATCTTCCGCACCTGACGCTGTAACGAAACTTCAAGCCACGATGGTTCGAATGTCACCTCAAGTCGACGGAACCGCCGCAGAATTTGATCGGATAATAGTTAAAAGCTCTCTGGGAGAATCTTTGAGACGTATTGAAGATGAGAATACGAGATTGAGAGCAGAGTTAGCCAAGACTGGATCCGGCTCTGGTATCTGGCTTCATTTATGGTCTTTTTCGCTGCCGGTATTCTAACACCACCCAAACAAATCATAGCCACCTCACCATCACTTTCTCGTAAACCTGGATTGGCACCCACGAAATCAGTCTCCATAGGTCCTGCAGATGGACGAGACATTACCGGTCATCAAGATATATCACGAGCAGAAGATACTCTCAAAGCATACGAGAAACGAATCAAATCCCTCGAATCCTCATTACGAGACGCATATCAAGCAGGCTCGAAGTCTCAAATGGAAGGCGTAAACATGTCTGCCGAAGTAGTACAATTCCAAGAGCAATTATCTCAAATGCAGAAAGAGAATGCAGATGTACGAGCAACGATGAGACGAGAGATTGGTAAACGAGAATTGGAGAGTGTGCAAGTTGCTGATTCTTTGAAGAGTCTGTTGGCAAGTCTAGGTAGACATGTTGATGTAGATTCTGATATTTCGACCTTGTTGGGTGACTTGCATGACCAGATTAGTAATGGTCGAGGAAATAGTGGTGCTACTGGATCTCATGGTGATCCGAATCTATTATCTGCATCACGAGCGCAGCAACAACAGCAAGGTTTATCATCGTCATTTATAAATCGCTCAGCAACATCGAAATTAAATACTGTAGTAACAGCACGAGCCACATCACCAATGTCGAATGCACCACCAATTCCGTCACCGCTGCATACATCACCGCCTCAATCTTCTGATAACCTGAATTCTCCCAACTCGACTGATTCAGCTGCTATGGCTGCCGCTGAAGATTGGGTGTTTGAAAAGGCGACATACGAAACCCGTATACGAGAGTTAGAAGCCGAGAGAGATGCCGTGAAGAATGATCTGGAAGGGTTACGGAATGGGAATGTTGAGAGTGTGAGAAAAGTTGACGAGGTTGGTAAAGTTGCTGTTGAGAGGATTGTTGCGTATCGAGATGGTTTGAGGAAGATTGAAAGTGTAAATAGTAGTAGTAGTATTTATAGTGGTGGAGTAGTAGGGGTGCAGGAGCAGCCACCGCTTGTAGAGAATGACACTATAGAATCGTTGAGGAGGGTAATGGAGTCGTGTCTGACTCCAGAAGGAGTTGAAGAACAAGTGAATCATGTTGTTGAGCTGCTTGCTAAGCTGAATTTGCCTGAAGACAGTCGGATTACCTTTCAAAAGTATGCCACGTTGAATCCGTGGAGACTTTCAGTTGCTTGTTTTTTTGTTGACCTTGGAATGAGTGTTTGAACTCACCTCTTTTCAGTTTCAAGATTGGTGATCTTGCCTTGTTCTTGCCAACGCAAAACCCAAAGGCTCTGTGTGCCTTCCATGTATCTGCACCACACTATTTCTTGTCTTTGGAGTCTGCTGAAATGCTGGATGTGGCTCATCGGTGAGTGTCGATGCTGTGGATCGTATCCGTTTGGTTTTTGTTGTTTCGTGAAAACTTTACGGTGAAAGTGACCAAGTTGGTCTAACATTATTTTGACTATCTGTTACATCTCTCTACCTGTAGAGCACCGTCATGGATACTGGCTAGACTTGTATCTATCAGAGACATGCTCGTAGATTCGTCAAATCCTTCTACGAATCCATTCACACTACGAGACAAGAGTGTCTTTCATCTTTGTGATGTGGTTCCATGGGAAGGACTGCCGGGAGGAATGATGTCTTCTGTAGTAAGCATTTGTTGGTTTGTGTGTGTTGATGTTGCCAACTGATTTAACAGCCCATCTTACGTTATATGTTCTTGTTTGTGATTAGACGAGATCCGACTCTCCATCGTCGAGAGCGAGCAGCCGAAGACCACGTTCTCCTGAAATGCTGTCTCAAAGTGTTGCATCTAGTAAAGGAGACGACCAACCCCAACAACAGCAGTAGCAAATGCAGAATAACAACAGTGAACAACAGTAGCAATGGAAGAGGAAGCCCGCACTGTATATTGATGAATTGTTTAAAACGGAATTCCAAAAAGTATCTTTTTCTTGTATAGCACGCACAAACACATAATTTTCTTCTTTTACAAATCCTCATAAACATACAAGAACATGGCTTTTTGTCACGTATTGTAATTACTATTGTGTGCTGGGTTGGGTGTTGTTGCTAACGCCTTTCAAACGAGCGAATCCAAACATTATTTTTCCAAAACTCGCCCCAAAAGAGCTGACTTTGTTGGAGCAGACCGAAAGAGGCAGAGACAAAAAGCCCGCTGTAGCTAGATGTATTTATGCGTTTTATATTGTATTACGAGTGGCTATTTAACTAACGCTTCCTCTCTTGCCTAGAAATCAATGAGTAAGATATCGTTGAAAATGAAGCCACGACCACAACCTGGCAAGACCCCGCTGTTTCTTTTCGATACAATCCATCGCAATACTTGCTCACAAGGATATCACGATTTCGTATCCCGTGCTCCTCCTATCACTGCCGACAACAACAATGGATTCCTCAACATTAATCAACGAGAGCAGCAGCGGCCAGACGATATATCGAATCCAGTGACTGCCAACATGAGTGACAAGCAACAACCTGACAACCAACAAGAGCAACAGCAAATCATCAACTCAATAATAATCAACAGCAAACACAATGTCTCGTATATTTGCAAAAGGTGCTTGTCGAGAATGGCAATTACGTTGCCGTCGACTGATGAGACTAGTGTTGGGGAATGTGCAATTGCTACTGGTACGCCAAAGTATCATCATTGGCATACGATGCCGCATGATGTTGAGAATCCGAGGGCTGAGAGGGTGGAAAAGTGTTGTGCGTGTGATTTGAGGGTTGTTATTCGACTGGTGAGTTGATGTATGTTCAGGATGTATGTTCTTTTTTCTTATGTGTTTGTTGTCGCTGTGATCGAGGCCTTTTGATATTTACATATCTTATTGCTATAAATCAAATCTAACTAAAACTACTACCCCAATGCGCATTTCAACAGGAAAATCCATGTGTACCTCAAAAACAAATTGATATGCTCGACAAGTACGGGTATCCAGAAGAAGCGGACAACTTGTTGACGCTATTCATGAGGTTGACTTTTGATTGTGTCAATGGCGTTGATCGCCCGGAAATCAAAATCAAGGCCGATAATCCAAAGCTGAAGGAAAAGACAAAGAATTTGACGAAAGAAGCGTAAGTTATTTAAAAGGAGAGACAAAAAAAACCTTGTGAATATTCTACTATCTGGTGATACCAGAATTCACCACCGCCATTCCAGCCTTCCCCTGTCTGATCTGATCTTTTTTAATCCTCCAGAGACCAACTGTTTCAGTTGCTTGGCTTTGAAAAAATCGATGAACATTTGGTGTATACGCGGAGAGGTGATCCAGCGTATCAGAATCTGGCTGAGAAGCTCAGAGACGAGCTGACGCTCTTGTATGAAAAGAATCGGGTTCGTCTACGTAAGTGGCGAGATGAAGGATTGTCTTGGGCGCAAATGATGGGCTCATCATATGAATTTGTTTTCGTTGTTATTGTACTAGTCTATTATACTCTTACAATCCGCCTCAACTCAAATAATCAGCTCCAACTCAACCACCATCAATATATGCCAGTGAATTATGGGAAGCTAGTGAGGCAATACTGTCTAAATTAGATATTCCATTGAACTTGACAAGAAATGGCATCAAAACTCCAGCTGCTAAATTATTGAAGGAATTGGAAGGAGTCTCGGAATATAATTTTAATGTTTTGGGATCCTTGTGGTATGTACCAGCAGTTTTAAATGTTGTTGGAAGAAGAAGAAACGTGCAATATGCTCGCTATGTCGATTTTGTTTTGGTTCTCTGGATGAATGTAATTTATGAAACGCTTACGCACAAGCACCTTTTTTTCATAGCTACGCGCCTGATAATGGCGATGAAACTGTTATATGGGCATATACAAGGAACGCAGAAGAGTTCCCAGACCAAATACCATACTTTATGGTAAGCAAAAACAAAAACAAGAACACTTCAACTCTGTATCATCCTACTGAATATGCTAGCTCACACCCCCAATTCATTGTTCAAAAGGATGCATTAGTGAATATTGCGAAATGGAGGAATACAGAAGATTTACAAAACTTTGTCGCAATTGAACGCTCCAAGGGCAGTCATCCAATGTCAGATATTCGATCGGCTTTTAGGACATTGAGGATTGAAGATGCTCATATTGGAATTCAGGATGCTCCATTATGTCGGAATTTTGAGTGGACGTTTATGGTAACGTGTTATGCTACGCATCGCCTGCGGTTTTTTTGTAGCCTTATTATCTTGACTCTGCTTTTTTGATATAGACTGGAAATCCACCTGGAAATCTCGATGAAGCCAAACAAGCTTTGAAATTGATTGGGGAAGCAAGGAAGAGTGATATTATCAGTAATTTTGTGGATACGGGCATGTTACCGCCTGATGAAGGTATGCGTGCAACTTCCACATAGTTCCTTGTCGTCAGAAGTTTTGTTGTTGACGCAATATTAACATGTGACACATAGCTCTTCCTCCATCTGCGCCAATGGAGATTGACGAGAATGAAATCAACATGTATGTATCGCAACGTATTCGTAGCCTTTTTTCTGTGGTTGCTTGGTTCATGTTGGAGAGGTTTATGGCTCACTAAAAATGTTATTTTAGGCCTGCTGGTTTGGACAACATTGGGAATACCTGTTTCCTGAACTCATTATTACAGTGCTATTTTGCGATACGGCCACTCCGAGATGCTGTATTGGGATTTGTACCTCCACCGCCGTCACAACAGCCCGTCAACATGAAATCATCATCTGATGCATCAATAGAAGAACAGACAGCAACGCAGATACCGAATGGTGACGTGCTGAATGATTCTACTATTAGTACTAGCAATAATTACCCATCGCTCAGGAATCCACTGCTCTCAAATGAGTCAAGCGCAACCTTGAATGATTCACCTATGGATACGAACGATGGAACAACAACGACTACTCCGATTAATACGGATAATGCTGATTTATCGAAAGGAAAACCATCGTCGACCATATCCGTACCGATACCTCCAAGTACCAGTATTCAACATGCGAGTAGTAGTCAAGATCCTGAAATTACGAGGGCTCAAGCTGTTGCACAGCATTTGGAGAGGTCGAAAGAATGTACGTTTCAAATGTAATTTGAGTTTGATTCAACGTCAGCTGTTTCGAGGAAAGAAACCACTCTACTTAACTTCAAATACTAGGCATTTTCCAGTCTAACTAAATATTTTTTTGTCTAAATATTTTTAGTGGTTATGCAGATGCAAGTGTTGTTTGCTTCATTAATATGGACGAATTTCCCAAGCATCAAACCACAAAAAGTTTTGGCTGATATTGCATTGACATCTGAAGGATTGAGGTTTGGACTTCAACAGGATGTCGGAGGTATATTACAAACTTGGATGCCAGTTTCTGGGTGCTATTTGATTCTAACAATCTCTCTGTAAAATACTCGTTTTAGAATGCCATAGTCGCCTGACTGCATCACTAGAAGTCGCACTGAAATCCGCATCAGATGTATCCAATGCTGGCCTTATCAACAATTTATTTACTGGCAAATTACAACAACGTCTGGACTATGTAGATGAAGCAGCAGTACAACAAGCCAGACATCAGGAAGAAGAGTTCGCATTCTTGTTGTTGAATGTGGCCAAAGATCTCAATCAGGCTTTGGATTCATATTTTATGCCAGAGATGGTGAGATGACTTTTCGAGCACAAAACAATATTGGCACTTGTTGATTTTGACGTTGAGATACCAAACATGATTCTCATTCTACCTTTTTGAATATTAGCTCTCAGATTTCAAAGGTGCTAAAGCTGGAACTCGGGCTTTCAAAACCACTACGATAACCCAATTTCCCCCTGTGCTGATGATCAACATTCAAGTGAGTATACAACTGGCTTTCAACTCATTTTTTTGTTTAATTCTGAACACACCTTTTTCTAACACAATTTATATAGCGATCAATGTTTAACAAAGAGTCACACATGCAATACAAGCAGCACGAGTACGTTAAATACCCACCAGTCCTCTACCTAGACAGATTCATGGAGTCATCAGATCCAGAATTCAAAGCAGCCAAACAACAAGATGCAAAAGATCGTTATACTGTTGCTCAATGGGAGCAATTTATACAGACGCAGATGAGTGAAGGACAAATATTGCTTCAAGGACCAGGAGTGTTTCATTCAACGTTTGAGAATGCTCGCGAGTATTTCAAGAGCACAATGAGTAATGATGATCCACGAAAGCCACGTGTTTTGGAACTTTTCAATTCGCTTCATTTGAGAATTCATCAGAAACTTAATGGTAGGTTTGTTTGCCTAAAAGTTGATACTCTTGTGCTGCTGTTGTCGTTTAATCTCACCCATCTTGAAACAATGCTTTTTAGGTTACATTCAAACTAAAGATGAGATTGTAAAGAGTCGAATGCATCGGTTTGATACATTCAAGAAATGGGAATATCATTTGCAGGCGGTGTTTATGCATGAAGGTAATTCTCTAATACCATACTGGCTTTGTTGTCGTTTTTGGTTTCTCGTCGTGGTGGTTTTCGTTTCACAAACTGAATCGTTTGACATTCGCTTTGCAGGTGAAGCCAATTTTGGGCATTACTGGCTCTACCTTTTTGATCCAGCTTTGAAGAGGTGGCTGAAGTGCAATGATTCGAGAGTCACTGAGGTTAGTGCCTGTATTGGAGAATGATTCGGGTCTTTTTTGTTTCTGCTTTACCAAACCGGAGTGTGTGAAAACACTTTTGGTCTACTAGGTACCTGATTCAGAAGTCTTTCTTGATACGAGTGGAACCAAAAAGAGTGCATACTGTCTTGTTTATGTTCAAGCATCACGTAAGTTTCTTTGATGCAAGGAATGACGAGCAATATAATGTCATTGCTTTATCCCTCGATGCTTTTTTTTGCTCACATTTATCTCACCTTTTGTTTTAGAAATTGCTGGTATATTAGACAGTTTCGTACGAAATCCAAAAAGTCGAGAAGAGTATGAAGCCCTATTCCCTCAAGCAAAAGACCTTGCACAAAGTGCTGCACCTCAACCGCCGGTTACAACATCAGCAACAACATCGGCAGCAGCCGGCTGGAATGATTCAGGAGCACCGACATCTTTACAATCAAACATGTCTACTGATTCTACGAATACGGCTTCGACGGTTGAAAATCCATTTAGAATGACAACCAGTGATGTAGATAGGATGATTGCAACAATTCCAGCACCAGCAACGAATAGCATCTCGCCAGTTGAGAATAGCGATGGAATGGAGGATCTTGAAGCTGTGACGCTGGATTGAGAAGAGCTTACGTATTTATTGGGGGGGGGG